GTCGTTGCATACAAACCGTGACTACTTGTAACTTGTCAGTTATACATATTTAACCTGTAGAAGATTGGCAGAGTCCCAGAAAATGTGTTTTTTTGTTATATGCATTATTGTACCTTGAAAACCGCATAGATTCGATTTGTACACCTGTTTAAAGCATAATGTTACGGAATAGCTAGTTTCGCCATTACCTTCTCTCCTGCTGACACTTATTTAGTCTTTTGAAAAATGTTTTTCTCGCTTTTGATTAAAGTATATGTGTTATAACTTGTGAACTTGTGTGCAACGATACCACCAATTAGGGAGCAGTGGATTATCGATCGAGCCAGTGACGCATAAAACACGTGCGAGCAGCCTAGAGTCCTGATTAGTCTTGCTTTCCGCCTAGTCCAGCCAGTTGAATTCAGAACACCAATCTCAGCCTCTGCAATATGAATAATTTATTTCAAGCATACTGGGTTTATATCTCAACCAGACAGACCACAACGTACTTTAAAATGTGAAACAACTTTTATACAAGAATTAGCCAAAATGTGGCCGTGAATGAGGGAGATAGTAATTAATAGACGGGGAATAATTCAAGAATGGTAAATTGTATAATAATAGTTCATAGGTCAAAATGAAACTCATAATAAGAGGGACATGAATATGAACAGTTTAGTTACATAACAATTACACGATAAAAATATACGTTTAGAATTGGTCTATAAATGGATCCCAAAAATTACCATTCATTATTCTTATCGGGATATAACACTATGCTTTAATCATAACATTCAGTTTCAACTGTTTCTATTTGGTTGTTTGAATTTAAATTCATATAATTACTTCTATAAGACCTTTTATTATTAGTCTATTATAATTGTTTCTGACAACTAATTTCCTGTGCTTTTATTTCCGACCGTTGTTGCTACCTTGACGTGGTGGTCGGGCTTGCCTATCGTGATGAAGCAACCGAGCTATACTGACTGGAACAACCGTTCCTCAAGGTCCTACCATGTCAGACAGGTCGGTTGAAGAGCGGTAAGACTAAAAGCAACAAACCCAAGGTCCGAAGGCGAAGTCATAATGCTGACTGTAGAGAGGTGTGACAGCAGTAAGGTGTTTCCCTCGGACAACCAGCATGACAGCGATGCTGCCTTCCCACATGGAGCGGTGGGGTTAGAAAAGGTCGACCCTAAAAATGCACACCTCACCTTACCTCACGGATTTCCGTCTCCGGCGGTAAGGCCCTTTGAAGAACGGAGCTAACACGTCAAAAACCTTCCACAAAAAGGGCGTGCGCGACCGACCTCAAGCAGTTGTCCCTTGGGCTCTGCGGTCACGCTCCCAGGTCGTCAAGACCAACACTAATCCGACTTCTTTTTCAGGTTCCTCAAGAAATACCCTTCCACGGTGTGGGCAGCCGGGAAGTGACACCAGCCCTCATACCCGTAACAGCACACGAGACCAAGTTGGTCACATTCAAATCCTTCCTACACCTCCTAATATCTCTCTTATCTCCATGACTAACCCTCCTCACGTCTCTTTATCACCTCGCACCGCTAGGGCAAACGATTCGAGTACGTGGAACGCTATTCCTGGTCTCCTGAAACCACGCTCTAAACTACACGTAGGAGCTTTTAACGTCCGAACACTGTGCCAAATAGGACAGCAGGCTTCTTTAGCTAGGACTTTAGAATCTCGCGCCATCGATGTGTGCTGCGTCTCCGAAACGCGCATACATGGTCCAAGTAGCGTCATTCATTTGACCTCACTATATCAAAATAAAGAACCAACTCGATTCACACTTCATGTATCTGGAGGCCCTGATGCTGTTTCTCGTGGCCTCGCCGGCGTAGGTATAGCATTGAGTCCTAGGGCAGAACTAGCTCTCTTCAACTGGATCCCAGTAGACAGTCGTTTGTGCGCTGTCCGACTGAACGGAACAGTAAGAATCCGGAAAGATAGGAACACTCGTCGTTGCCTCTTCGTCGTCTCTGCCTATTCTCCCACTGACTGCAGCTCAGATGATGTAAACGATGAGTTTTACAGAAAGCTTTAGGACCTTCTCCGAAAAGCTAAGCGCTCGGATGTAGTAATAGTGGCCGGTGACTTTAATGCTCAAGTAGGTAAACTAAGCGAAAGGGACAGACACCTGAGTGGATTTTATGGTGTCGTTGCTCAAAGAACAGATAATGGCGACCGTCTGTTGCAGCTATGCTCAGATAACCGCCTGTTTCTTGCAAATACTAACTTTAAGCATAAGGAAAAACATCTTTTAACATGGAGACCCCCTAATTCTTGTTCAACTTTGTGGTCGACGTACTTTTAGAGATAACACTCTCCTCATCTAAATTTCCAGGGGTTGAACTTCTACCAGGAGGTTCACTTGTTGACTTAGAATATGCAGATGACATAGTTTTATTTGGTGAAGACGCTGACAAAATGCAGAGTCTTCTGACCACTTTAAGCAACAATGCAAGCTTGTTCGGAATGCGATTCTCTCCCTCGAAATGCGAAATGGTGCTTCAGGATTGGGTTACATCGACACCCGAACTAGTGATAGGGATTGGAGTAGTTGAGCATGTCGACCGCTTCACTTATCTTGGAAGTCTCATCAGCCCTTGTCGTTTGGTGTGTGACGAAATCTCAGCACGGATACAGAAGGCTCGACTAGTTTTTGCCAACTTGCGTCACTTATAGCGTAGGCGAGATATCCGTTTATCAACCAAAGGACGGGTTTACTGCGCAGCAGTTCGTCCCGTCCTACTTTATGGTAGTGAAACATGGCCGGTAAGAGTAGAGGATATTCGTAGGTTACTAGTATTTGATCATGGGTGTCTTCGAAGCATTGCTCGTATATTCTGGGACCACTGAGTACGGGATGCAGTTGTTAGGAAACGGGTACTAGGTAAGGATGGCAAATCGGTTGATGAAGTAGTGAAACTTCATCAGTTGAGATGGCTGGGACACGTGTTACATATGCACAACAACTGACTGCCCCGATGTGCGGTGTTTTATGGTGTAAGAGTAGGTTGGAAGAAAGCTAGGGGCGGCCAAACTAAAACATGGCACAAGTCCATGAAGTCACTGATAAGTGGACTGAGTCATGTTGGTAGGTGTAGACTACCTGGTTGGGGACTGCGAGATGATAGCAACCGATGGTTAGAGACCCTGAATGACATGGCTGAAAATCGTTTGCAATGGCGCAGGTGCATCCACTCTCTGTGTTCTCCCAAATTCTAATCTTCTGAATTCTTCATGTCCCTTTTTTCCTCTTTCCAAATTTATTTCACTGTATTATACTCTTTAAATAACATCTTCAAACCCTAATCTTTCCGATCACTGCTTATGCTCTTACCACCTTTCCACTACTGGATTTGAATCGACAACTGCATCTCTGTGCTAATGTGGTGTGGCAACTCGAACTGATGTACGTACGTACGAAGTTCTACGTTGTTACTGACTGACTGACTGTGCTTTTATTCATTTTTATTTGATAACTGTTGTTATTGGCAAAATATTTACCTGTCGTTGGATTGGAGGTATTGACAGTCAGAATTGTTCATCATCCATTGGTTATTTTCAATATCGGTCCATTATTTTTCTTAACCAAAGTTATTTGTGTGTAAAAAATCTGTAACTTTAGTTCTATCACAAAAATCTGTTGTGGCAGCACCCAGTAAATATTGTTAAAACTAGATGCTGTGTTGCACATCTTTTCATATGACCTGGTCTTGTAGTAGGAATTTTAAAGAGTGCCATTTTAAGAAACTAACTGCATCATTAGTGAATTATGTAATGATGGATTACAAGAGACTGTAGTTGTTAGTGTAGCTATTTCATGGCCATAATACTTAATTTGACCGTGTTGAATTTTACAAACCGTCGAAATCTCTGTCTGCTACGTAGTCGTGGTCTTCTGTCGATTTCACTCATTTCCCGTGTTTCGTTCACTTTGTTAATTTCATCTTTGTGAATTATTAAAATGTCAAAAACAATAAACCTATTTTTTGTTGAAGAAAATGCATTTGTATTTTGCGATTTGTCAATATTCTAGGCGAAGTTAATGACCACTGTTTTTGTTGGTCTCTAACTTAAACAACCCTTACAAATGAAATAACAGTCAGTACGGTTTGTCCAACGTTCGTTTTAAGGTCATGATTAATAATTACGACCATAAAATGGTTTAGTGGTTAATTCAATCAGTTCCTAGCAGGTGTGCTCTAAAACGGCTTCATTTATATTCAACAAATATGATAGTTAGGTATGTCATTAGTCTTTGCACAGAAAGTGTAAGTTACATCAAAAGTGTTGGGAAAATCAAGCAAAATAATGAAACTCAATCAGTTCAAATATAATTTTAAAGTCTGCAGAGTTCAAAATTTATCAATAATTCCCAAATCATTGTAGTCGTTCCTTATTGTAATATTGTTGTAAAGTACTATGATCTTTAGACTTTTAACAGTATGTCAACAAAGACAAATACCTATTTCTAGATTTATAATTAGGTCTTACTACTAACCCTCTCATACGGATAATACAGGTATATTTTGAAGTCTAATGCCTTTTGCAAAAGTAGCGAGTGCCTATGTAATACTGGAAAACCAGATAAACTTTATTCTTCGAAGATCAATAGAGACAGTTTTCTTTGCATAAAGAATAATATCAATGGTGTCTCTCAATATGAATCTGTATATCCAAAGCTGGAAAAATCCATTGAACCATTGGATTAAAATTGTTTATATTTCATTTATGTATGTTTTGCTAATTAGGTGTATGTGTTTAGTATCTTCTTTTCAATTAAAGTGATTAACGAATAGTTAGAGCAATTGACATTTTCTTAGGTCTCAGGCACTGACCCTGCTGAACCAGGTTCAGTTTTGGAAGCCAGGTGGTATCACTGACCCTAACACTTAAATACAATGTAAACCAAAGCTAAATACGTATATCTATACCTACATTTCGTAAATTAGTTACAGTAATTAATTCACACTTTCCTTTAATCATTGATTTTCTAGCACCCCCTCAATAATTATGTAAATCCGAATTACACTAGTAAATTACAACAACAGTATCCAGTAAATATAATGAAAAACAATCGTAAATATTCATTACCCAGCACAATACAGCGGTCAGGAACACAAATACATTCTAGGACTTTAGGGCGTTTATCAATATCAAGATCTGGTAAAGTGTGTATGGAAAAACAATCTACTGAACAACACGATCATCGCCGTTGTCAAACTCTACCACATTATCATCATAATCGGCCAAATCGTATTGATCCTCGTTACGGTTTTAAACGACCATGTTGGTCTTCAGTGCCTTTAATTATTCAACTAAATAAAACATCTCATGGTTTTGGATTTAGCATAGCTGAATATGAGGTGAGTTTTATTGAACAGAAATTTACATGTATACATATTTAATGATTACTGAAAATTGATGATAAAGGACTTAGTTGTTTAGTTAAGCCTTTCACTGCTATTCGGGCATAAGCCGCCCACCAGGAATTAGCAACCAACTCTTATCTCCAGTTGCTTCCGAATGCTATTCATTCTTTTGGTGTCAACCTTCAATTCACGATGTGTATTTTGGTCTGGCACTTTTCCCTTGGGGTTTTCAAGTTAGGGCTTGCCCCGTAATTCAGTTTGATGATTTTCGCAGTGTGCGCCCTATCTACCTCCAACGTTTGTTCCTAATTTTCTCTTCATCTATGAGATGGTTTGTCCTGTCACAGTAAGTTGTTGCTGATGATGTCTGGCTAACGGATATGAAGCATCTTGTGCTTGCAGTTGTTTCAAAACATCTTTGTTATTTTGGTGATGGTGGTGGTAGTTCTCCACGTTTCAGCTCCACTAGCTAGAACTTTTAACGATTGTGTTGGAAGTTCTATTTTTCGTGTTGGATTGTAGATATTTTGGGTTTCAAACATTCTTCAATTGAAGGAATCTTGCCCTTGCTTTACCGATTCGTACCTTTAATCTGCATCAAATTCCCTTTGTTTATCAATCTTGCTGTCTACTCACAGCTTATCCCACAATTGTGAATTGATTGGTGCTGGCTATTCTGTATTTCAGAATCTTGAGGTCTACTGCTAGGGAAATGGCTGCTATACTAGCGGTCTTTATCTGTATTTGTCGCCATGTATTTCATAGAAATGATGAGTCATTTTCAAAGTCCGAACCATCCAGATTTATCCGAATTGTGTCTGAGCCCCCTTCTACATTGCATTTTAGTCCCTTGTAAGAGTTCCATATTATGGTGACGATCTCATGTACGCCATAGTGTCGAAGAAGCTTCCACAAGATTCTCCTATCCACACTATCAAACGCTTTATCATAGTTAAGAGGATTGATGTATGGCGACCAGTTACATTCACTTGATCGTTCAACAATGATCAATAGTGTCGCGATGTGGTCTGTAAACTATCGATCCTTACGGAATCCGGCCTGTTGTTCTCGAAGTTGAGCGTCCACTGAATCTTTCGTCTGGTTCAACAACACTGTTGAAAACTTTTCCTGATACTGATAGTAGTGTGGTACCTCTGTAGTTCTCACACTTACTGAGTCACCTTTCTTTGTTACTTTGATGAGGTATCCCACTTTCCAGTCTATCGGCACTTGTTCATCCTCCTAAATCCTCTTGAATAGGATGTGTAACAGGTTTGCAGTTACTTCTATGCCTGACGTCGGTGCTTCAGTTTTAGCTTTTCCACTCGTGGATGGTTATCTAAAGACGCATCCGCTCCTCACCTTGCTGTTATATCTTCCATAGAACTTCAGAACCGTTTACTTATGCATATGTCGTCGATCTGGTTTTTCGTAGTATGACCATATGAAAGCCATGTAGCTCTGTGCGTGCGTTTGTGTGGAGAATGTTACCACGTATTGCCATGTTGTGTAAAGCATACCAAGTTACCGGTCTCTCACCATTTCCATTCATTTTTCTTAGTTCATGTTGTCCCATGATATCTGCATTCACGGTGTTGTCCATTCCAAGTCTCATATCAAGATTGTCATGTCATTTTATGTACGATAAACTACAGCCCCTCATAAAACTGATGTTCATCATCTTCGTTACTAATGTTAGTGCGCTCATGGTACTGCATAAGTTTCACTGAATTTTCCCTTTTTTTAAGGATGTTTTGATGTTCCTGGGTCCATGAGATGCCTATCGTATAAGTGCTTTTCTCTCTTTCCTGAAGTTAGTCGTTTTTGTCCACATTGTGTTTGGTCAGCTTCACTTAATCCAAGGAGATGGCAGCTGCATCTCGTCTTTTATATGCCTATTTGAATGACCTTATAAGTCACCTATATTGCACGAAGATCCTGTATCTTCGTGTTTACTGTTGCTCTGGCTGTTAGAGGCGGTATCTGCCCTGTAGCTTTTGACGGTTCTCGTTTGAACTCTTCTACATGAAGACCTTTGCACTCCCACAGAAGGGTTTTGATGGTTCGGTTGGTTCACTTTTAACGATGTTTTTTGAAGGTGGTGTTGCTAACCCTCTCACAGTCTTGCTTCTGACCACCAGTAACTGTAAAGGATTTCCAGGTGAACTTAAGGTGATGGTCAGAACACAAATAAATGTTTATTTATACTTTTATATTGTACCACTATGTGTGTTCATGTAAATGAGTTATTTTATTGTTACTAATTCTTTGATCCATTTCTAATAATGTCCGAAAATAACACTTATTGTTGTTTCTTATATCTACATCTTTATAGGAACTACCTGTTACTGACTTAGAAGGCAATACACTCCGTAAAGCTTGTTCACTTGATAGAAGGAGTTCTAATATGATTGAATCTGATCGTCGATCATTTCATTCCTATTATTCTACCGGTTCTACCATTGCATCATTATCATCGTTACCTGGTAAGAATTCCAAATCTTCCAGTAAATTGAAACGAAGATCCACGTGGTCTAGTCGCTCCAAATCACACGGTATCTTATTAGTTGACAGTTTAACTCCAGGTGGTATTGCACAGTTGGATGGACGTATATCAATCGGCGACAGGCTGTTATTTGTTAATGATAAAAACTTAATGAAATCTAGTGTATTTGAGGCCGCTACTACACTAAAGTCCCTTCCTAATGGACCATGTTTAATTGGTATTGCAAAAATGCAGTTGGAATCAAATGAAACAGATGACATTCATGAAAAAAGCCAACAACAATTACTACTGCCATACCCTGTTGTCTCTTCTAGACCTTCTGTGATTGACATGTTTCCAGATACTGGTGAAATGAAAAGGATCAGTGTCAAGTCTGATCTAGCATATCCATTACACGTAAACACTGGTGATAGCACTATCGATAATGACGATAATAATACGATTATGGTAAATATTCTAAAATGGTGTTTTTAAGTTCATTGTGCTCATATCTTTTATTGTTTATGTTATGTAAGCTCTGTTTGATACCCAAATTTATAATTGCTCCTGTATGTTATAAGACTGTGCTGAACGAAAAGTATTAAGATTACACGTAAGAGAACCAAGTTTTTCGATTAGCTTATGGGATTTTATCGGAAAATAATTTTTTCCGGCGTAAATTTTGAACGACGAGACGCTACTCTATTTCTATTGGTACTATCATGTTGGCTGAGATAAACAATCTTCTATCAACATTACCTAAACTAAAATGAAGTTTGATAGTTCTTAATCTGCTTTACTCAAGGCTTAATTTTTTTTATTCCAGTGTCCCGATGACTTCTAAATTTCCCCCCTTTAAATCTTGAATGCTTCGTTATTTTCCATATTTGTCACTCATATTCCTCCCATCAAAAATTCAACTTCCTCTTACTTAGTCGTTCACTTTTTTGGCTATCCAATAAAATGCAGTTTAAATAATATATTGTTCATTAACTATTGTTATCTCTTGTAAAATATCGGTATTATTGTACTCGGCATATTACTGGGATAGATTTTAGTTTGTTTCAGAAGGGCATACATGGGAAAATTAAATATTACAAAAAAACACTGACACTGTAAATTTATCAGTAAGGAAAGAAAATTGACGATTCATTGGATGATAGATTGTGTGAATGTAAGTGAGCCGTTGCGTTTGTGGTGTTAGTCTTCATAACTCACATGACTATGCTCTTAATTGTACCGATGTTATTTTGAGTTCCTTATCCTTTTCAGTAGGTATATATTTTATAGATCCACATCATACATACATGATATTGAAGGTTGTGATAAAATTTGTGAAACCGTGGCTTTATGATTGAAACAGTTGACTTCCGACTATTTTCGAATTATGTTCCAATTATTGTGGTTTGAGCAGCCTATTTCAATCATTAACTGTCATATAAGTAGCTCGACTGAAAACTGAGTTACTAGGACTGTATTTGGTGAGACTTTTAAATTGATGTGATTGATTTGAAAGGGTAATTTCAACTAATAACAAAAATTGTTTACGATCAGGACACTGCTTGGTATGATTCACTGTTCTATATGCAAATTAACTTTTAATGTAGCTTGTATCGTATTATACCCTAATATTTCGCATGCATCCAGTCGATCGTAGATACAGATCAATGCAATAGTGGTTTGGAGGGAGTTGTATACTTTTTTGCGTACGCAACTGGATGAAGGTGAGATTTTTTAGCTGTCTAAAAGTGGGCTTGTATCCATAACGCTTTTCTGAAATGATACATACCTCTGTAAATGGTTTACTGAGTTTCATTTTTTTATTTGACAAGTCATAAAACAGGTATTAATGTTTCCTGCTAGTGATTTTTACACTAAAGCCTTTGTTTGACCTTTGACCTTTCGACTTCAACTGTTTGGTTTATTATCATTGTGACATGTTGGCGATAGAGAAAAACAAAACAGGCGAACATGTTCGCTGTAGTATTAAAGTACTGTTAACTGAAAAGTTTGCACGAGTACCGTATACTTACTAATTGTACTTTCTGTATTTATTTTCTTTCCTGTTCGCCACCGCTCCTGGAATAATAAAATTTTACGACGATGACCATTCTTCGTGGGTATATGCAATGGTGTTTATGGTTGTTGTGCACACATTAACGTATATATATATATATATATATATATATAAATTTTTATTTTGGTCAATCTAGTCAAGGCATGGAGTAACTGCATGCTTTGATAGCTTCAGTTGGAGTTTAATGCGTACTGTTTATTCATGTCCTTCTTTACAAAGGCCTCTACCCGATTCGGTATTTACTTTACGTGCAAGTATTACCGATAATTATGATAATTATGATAAATATCGTACACCTTCCATAAATAAAAGGTTGTTTATTGCAAATAGTTTGGATCAGTTGCAACAACAAAGTGAATCTTTTTGTGGTCCGAGATCACCAACATCTAATCATCTGAACCCTTTACTTTTGGAAACTAATCATTCTTCTACACATCAAAAGTGTAAAAGTTATAGTTATATTGAGCAGTTAGGAAAATACACCAATGAACACTATTTCCACCGTCATCATTCTTACCATATGTGTACATTATCTGAATGTGGACAAAGTCATATGATCCACGATATTCAGAAGTGTCTAAATACTAATAACGCCAACCAGTTACCTCTTCATTTAGTGCATGAAATCGTTCAAAAAGCAGTGGATCTAATTAATTACGAAGTGTTGGAGGATTCAATTAGATCAAATTCGACTACCGAACGAAATCGGTTCATCTCATCAACGTCATCGACAAAAGCAGGAACAGCAGATTCAAGTCAGTCATGGACACAATCTATGATTTCTGGATTCTTAACATCTTCGAACGTTAACGTTGATGATAGCAATAATAACAGATTAGGTGCTGATAAAGTAGATCAAATTCTTACTGATCATCACTCTACTTCATCATTGGTCTCTAGAAGTAGTTATTGCACTACTGACAACAATGCTAGTAGTACTCAATATTTAGCCGATCGACTTGTTATTCAATCCATTTTAAAAGCTTTGAAATACTTGGAAGATCAAAATACCAATAATGATAGATTATGTAATTCTTCTGTTATATCATCTGCTATTCCGCATCATATTTCCACGCCAACTAAAGCATCCACAATTGAATTAACTTCAAAGCGTAGAGAGTTTTCAGTATTTAACAGATACCAACTACCTTATATTAGTCAGAGTGGAGATGTAAATAATGGATCCGAATGGTGTTCTGCATCTAGTAAATTGAGTAGTTACTATAGATTCCAACTTCTCTCGGACGAAAATGGTCATAATAATGTTGACAATTTGTATTCAAATGGAGAAATGGATAATAATAATAATAATGCCATCATCATAGGAAATGATAACACTGACGATAATGATGAAGAAGAGGATGTAAAAACAGAGTGCGATTTATCTACAAGCTCATCAGTCTCTCTCTCCCCTTATGTCCATCCAAAAACTATGTCTTCATCCATTGAATCTGATCATCATGAGTTCAATCATTTACTCTTCGAGTCACTTTTCATTCATAGTTGTTATTCATCACCAAAATCAACCAGGTCCAATGAGCATGCGAGTAATAGTAGTATTAGTTGTAATAACGGTAAGACAGTTGATAAACATAATTCAGGGGATTGCTGTGTTATTGAACATGATCAAGATGCTTCACAGTCACGTTTTGCTGGTAAACGTCTGAATATTTCTTCAACATCTCACCAGTATAGTCGTCACCAACACCGATCTGGAAGCCATGATAATCATGCTATCCTGGACAACCAACTTACAAACCGTATAGATGAAAAACATAAGAAGCTTGATATAAAGGTCTGTAGTCGTTGTCCATCTTAGTAATTTAGTCACCATTACTATACTGCATGTAAATAAAATCAAGAAATATTGTATTTGAATAACAAACTTTTTCCCTTTCATACCCAATCAGTTACTATTGCTTTTCTTGTGCATTTTTGGAATGGAAACCAATATGTCATTGTTCTACTATGAATTTTTTGTGCCTCAAATCTTTAGTTCTTTGAAATTTTAAATATATTCACGATATAGCAATACGGGTTAATCATGTTTCTGATCTCTTGGCGTGTTATATTTCACGAGTAAAACATTCCTGGTCGGTATTTGTGTGCTTTTTAACAGATTACTACACATTTCATTATTAGCTGCGTATATTTTTGTGCACCAATTTTCCTATTAAATTAAAGTTTAATTTCTAACAGTTTACCTGTAATAGAACTTCTATTAATGTCTTCTTATTCAATATTTCTCAAATGCTTCGAATTTTTTGAATATTTAATGTTTTCGATTTGTAGCATTTCTTAATTAATATACTGCATGATCGTGAATAAAGACAAAAATAATGTCTAAACTGTTAGTGAGAGATTTTTTTCTCGTTATATACTCACTTATTGGTCAGTTCACCATGTTGTTATTCTGTTGTTTTGCATAAACTGTGTTGTTTATTTTCTCTGATTTGAGTTTGTCACCTATTCATTATAACCCTGTTTTGTTGAAAGATATGTTACATCGAATGGTTGCTCTTTTATTGCTCTGATGATGTAGATGTATGACGAAGCTGTTACTAATGGACATGTGTATGTGTGTTATTTCCTAATTCTGTTCACTCATACATACATTACAATAGAATTCTGTTAGCAACACAAGTTTACAAGACTTTGGTTGTTATATATATATGTGAAAAGATTGTCATAATTCAAACAGATACAATGTTATTTTTAGCTTTGTTTTCGTCAGTCAGGTAATAAAACCCTATTAGCAGCTAAACTGTTACTCTTTAATGCTCGTTTTTTCACCATAACTGTTCTTATATCTAGTAGCTGATGAAAAGCTAGAAAATTGGAATTCAGGTTATAAACTAAGTAGTTCTTCTCCTAAAACCTGAAAGTTGTAGGCTTTATCCTATTTGTAGTGTCATGTATGATCACTGTTGAAATACCACAAAATACCATGAAATAAATGTCACCTACTATCTGTTTTCAATTATTCTGCATTTTTTTTTAAGCATATAAGTGTGCGTATGGCTGAATGACTGAGTGAGCTCATGCCGTAACTTAGCATGGACAAATCCCCATGAACGATCAACTTAATTATATACTCTCATGTTCTAGTAAATAGCTGAGATTAATTATTTAATGAGTGAGACACTTACCCTCAAATGAGGTTAAGCGACACATGCTATATTGTAGATTAACTGGAGTTGTAAAGTGTGAAACCATATTCCTTTCTTAAATGATATCTTCCTTACTAAAGTAATCGATGACAGAGTATTCGATCCTGTACAGAGCCAGCGGTCCTGTGAGCTGAGGAGTCCTGAAGTTGATCGAAACGATTATTCTACATTCATTATCTTCCTATTGGTTCTCCTGATAGTGTTAATTCGTCAGGAAAACAATCTTTAAATTCAATTAAGAAATTTCGCTGTTTCTTATTGGTTGCTTATGTGGGATTAGTTTCGAGCGATAAATCAGTTTACATTCAATAATCATCCAATTTGTAATATATAATACATTTATTTTATTTCTTTTCACATCTTGTATTGACAAAGCACATGAATATTATCTTATCCTATGAGTAACTTTTAGTTTTTTGCTCTCGTTTCAATATCTTTATTGATCAAAATGTGAGGATCATGTGCAAGTTTTGCATCATAAATTGTTTTCTGGTCAGTCATTTATCGTTTATTGTCCTATTTTTATGATATTGCTTTCATGCATGAATTAGTGATTATCAGCATGAATGAACATTTATCTTGTGATATGAAGTCTTTAATTTATTTCGCAATTCTATTTTAACAGAATGGTCTCAATGCAACTGGAACTGAAGATTTGGTAAGTTTATTTCTGTACTTGTGTTACTGTTCGTTACTTTTCAACGTACTTTGGTCTCTTTTCCACACACGATTCGTTTATTTGTCCTTTAACCGTAATGTCAGTCTTATCAGTGAGTACATTCTTTTTCTAAGTTTCAAGATGTATAAAATTGATGCTTACTTAGGTTTTTTTAGATATCCTTTTGTCCACTCTTCCAGTCCATCATCTGTGATGGTAGTGACAATAGAATTCCGAGCCGTAGTTTATTATTTGGTACGATTGGCCTTCAGCTATTTTGCCATAAGTGTCGATTGTACTGCACCTTCAGTTTTCCCACATTTATTGCCATATGTTTTACTAGCCTCAGAGCGGCTCCAGGCGAAGTTATAATTTACTTGTTTACGGAACATTTTTTGATATTCGTTTATTCGGTGTATTAAAAAGTCATTGAATGAAACACAGTTACGGTTCATTCGGACTAAAATTCATCTGTCTAAACTTGAAGCATTCAATAAGCCTAGAGGTATGTTGTTTTTCTGAGTATACTTTGTATTGAATTACCGCTGTAATTTTTTGTACCGAGTCAGTTTATAATTGTGAAGTACTAGTGTTGTAAACTACATTTTATTTCAGAAATGATTAACTAGTTCAGCCATCAGTCAGTCACAACGTGGAACCGGTGCGTCAGTCAGTCAGTCAGAACAACGTAGAACATCGTACGTACGTACATCAGTTCGAGTTGCCACACCACATTAGCACAGAGATGCAGTGGTCGATTCAAATCCCGTAGTGGTAGAGGTAGCAAGAGTATAAGCAGTAATCGGGAAGATTAGGGTTTGGAGATGTTATTTAAAGAGTATAATCCAGTGAAATAAATTTGGAAAGAGGGAAAAAGGGACATGAAGAATTCAGAAGATTAGAGTTTGGGAGAACACAGAGAGTGGATGCACCTGCGCCATTGCGAACGATTTTGAGCCATGTCATTCAGGGTCTCTAACCATCGGTTGCTGTCATCTCGCGGTCCCCAACCAGGTAGTCTACACCTACCAACATGACTCAGTTCACTTGTCAGTGACTTCATGGACTTGAGCCATGTTTTGGTTTGGCCGCCCCTAGCTTTCTTCCAACCTACTCCTATACCACTGAACATAGCACGTCGAGGCAGTCGGTCGTTGGCCATACGTAACACGTGTCCCAGCCATCTCAACTGATGAAGTTTCACTACGTCATCAATTGATTTGCCATCTTTACCTAGTACCCGTTTCCTAACAACTGTGTTACTTACTCGATGGTCCCATGATATACGAGCAATGTTTCGAAGACACCTATGATCGAATACTAGTAACCTACGGATATCCTCTACTCTTACCGGCCATGTTTCACTGCCATAAAGAAGGACGGAACGAACTGCTGCGCAGTAAACACGTCCTTTGGTTGATAGACGGATATCTCGCCTACGCCATAAATGACGCAAGTTGGCAAAAGCTAGTCGAGCCTTCTGTATCCGTGCTGAGATTTCGTCACACACCAAACGACAAGGGCTGATGAGACTTCCAAGATAAGTGAAGCGGTCGACACACTCAACTACTTCACTCCCTATCACTAGTTCGGGTGTCGATGTAACCCAATCCTGAAGCAACATTTTGCATTTCGAGGGAGAGAATCGCATTCCGAACAAGCTTGCATTGTTGCTTAAAGTGGTCAGAAGACTCTGCATTTTGTCAGCGTCTTCACCAAATAAAACGATGTCATCTGCATATTCTAAGTCAACAAGTGAACCTCCTGGTAGAAGTTCAACCCCTGGAAATTTAGATGAGGAGAGTGTTATCTCTAAAAGTACGTCGACCACAAAGTTGAACAAGAATGGGGAGAGTGGACAGCCCTGACGAACACCACTTGAGGTGATCAATTCTGATGACAGTTCGCCATAAGCTCTCACTCTACCAGTTGTGTTCGAGTAGAGAGCCTTTATAAGGTTAATGTACTTCTTTGGTACTCCTTTCAGTGACAAACACTGCCATAGAACCTCACGATCAACGGAGTCGAATGCCGCCCTAAGGTCGAGAAATACTACCATTGTGGGGCGTCTGAATGTGTGTCTGTGTTCTAGAACCTGACGTAGTGTGAATATCTGATCTATACAACCACGTCCAGGTCGAAAACCGGCCTGGTTTTCTCTAGTCTGCTCTTCACGAGCTTTAGTTAGGCGTCGAAGTATGATTGAGGCTAATATTTTAGATACTATATTTGTCAAATTGATTCCTCTGTGATTGTCACAAGAGGACTTTTGTCCTTTCTTAAAAACTGGCACAATCAGTGATTGAGACCAGTCAGATGGGATTACGTCCAGTTCCCAAATTCTACCTAAGACCTCAGTTAATCTTGCTGCTAATACTGGACCACCATCCTTAAAAATCTCAGGAGTAAACCTGTCAGGGCCTGCTGCTCTCCCTCGTTTCAGATTTCCTATGGCTTTTTCAACCGGTGCGTATGTACATCGGCACAAGTTGCCATACCCTATTAGCATAGAGTGATAAAGTTATCAGGCTAAATCTCAGAATAGTCGATTAGTAACAGTATCAGTGGCAATAGGAAAGATTAGACATTGAAGATACAATTCGAAAATAAAATATAAATTATTAAAGTAAACACACAGAAACGGTCATGAGGAATTAAGAAACTCGGAATTTACAGGAAGACAGAATGAATCCACCTGCGCCATTGCGAACGACTGTAAGCCATGTCATTCAAAATATCTAACCACTGACTTCAGTAATCATACACACCACATCCAGGTAGTTTATTCGTATAAGCATGGCTAAGTCCGATTATCAGTGACATCATGGACGTACAACATGCTTTGGTTTGAGTGCCCTGTTCTACAAGTATCTTATATGGCCTGGTAGGACCTAAAAAACATTTGTTCCTTCCATTATAGTTCGGTTGAGCCATCATGATAAGGGAAACTCGAGCCTGACATCATTGTAACATTACAGTCGGCAGTTCAAACAGTATAAAATGATAATTCATCGGCACTTATGATTACAATAAGTTTATTAGAAAAGAATGTTTGTGGAAATTGTCCAATTTGAGAAAAACTGTTCATAACGTACTGATTAGCTAAATAACCAATCAAACTTGGGCGGTTTATGTAGTTGTTTTGTTTTAGTATGGCATACATTGGGAACTCACACTATTAGTCTCCAGGCATCTAACTCACAATTTTCAAGTTTCGCTGTAACTGTTTTTTATTTTATACCATTCATTTGACATTCAGCTGTCCACATTTAAAACTTCAGTCAGTTCGTGATTTCCACGCATTTCTGTTTGTAATATCTGCCGTTAGTAAGCCGTAGTGTGCATGGTGATTGAATTTCGCAAAAAGAGAAACCTTAGTTCTTGTAGATTGTATTCTTTTAATTAGAAAACCTTAAAACTCTAAGTTTCACTAATGTTGATCGTAACTATCAACCTTCCAGTGGAGTATTTTTTAGATTTATTATATATCTTGACGATCGAACTTTTAAAGTATTTACGTTGTGTCAAGAAATTTACTTGTATTTACGATTTGCATAAAAATGATAATAATAGTCATTACCTTTATTACTGCTATTTTTAATTAATTACTTTATGAAATCGACTGTTTTAATCGACTTCTAAATACCTACCATATTTATTTATTTTTTTTACGTTCTGATTTTTTGTTTTATTTCCAATTTGTTTTTATTTTTCATTATTGACCTTATTCTCAACATTTATCCTTATGTGGTCAGTCCTCTTTCATTTGGTTATCATTGTGTTTCTTCTGTGTTTATAGAATGTTAGTTTTCCGATATATAATGCTTGGGTAATGGATGAATTGGTTTTTAGCCACCATGTGTTTGTGCATATATATGTAATCACTAAAATGTTGTTGAATTATGTTTATGTGAAAGAGTAAGGTGTATGTATGTACATTGCATCGTGGCGACACACCATTATACAAACACACTCTCTGAACATATTTATCAATTTAAGACTGCACTAATTTCTGTTGACCCTTTATTATATTTGTGCTTTCTTGTTTCATTTCAGAGAATATGTTCAATATTCTCCTTTTCGTCTTCCTCTAAGTTCTTTTTTCACCTGTAACGGAGAAAAAGTTAGCGGAAAATATAGTTTAAGTGTAACATAATGAAATAATATTATAAGGAGGAATGATTCCTATTGATCTCATCTGATTGAAAAGCTTTCTTAAAGTGTTCCATCAGTTTTATAAGATTGAAAATTGAACTTAGAAATCCAATCAGTATATACGTCTCAATGATTACTAAACAATTCAGTTTAAAACATCCATGATACAAAAATGCCTTGATGTTGTATCACTCGATTGTCATCTATCGATCAGCATTTTTTCTTTTTATTTTAACAACCAAAAATGAGTCCATAAAATCATACTACATAACACTATTGCATTCAAAAATTATAATATTGAATGTAATCTATTTACCAAATATACGTTAATGTAATGCACTTGGCTTGAAAGATACAATTTTTGTATGTGGTGGATAACGAGTGACTCAGCTAACCAAACCAGTAGTATGTGTAGCGAAGTTATAACATCCTACCTACTAGTGATTTTCATCATCGATTGAAAAACTTTTGAACATCAGTTTTTCTGCTAGTTTATCAACACTTCATACTCTATACAAGATCAAGCGTAAATTTTTGTTTTTTGCACAACACTCACATGTTGTAAATTCCACAGTCAATCCTTTTTTATTTAGTAATTGATTTACATATTTTAGTTCATCTTAAGTTTTTATACTCTAATAAAAATACTTGGTTACTGTCCAGTGTCTCATGGATGCAGTTCAAATGCTTTTGACATTCTGGGATAGATATTATCACAATATCACCCAATCTGTTTCAATCGTTTATTTGAAATGAATAGTGTACAATTTATGAACGCATCAGTTTTATATTATTACCTATAGTACTTAGTTATAAGAGTGCACACAGATGCCTGCTGCCAGACATTTCTTTTTTCTAAACTATAGCTGATGATCACGAATACAGTTGAGGTCCATTCCATCTTCCGTCTTCTCTTTTTATGCCAATACTCAAAGCTTATTTTATTTGTAAATGTGATAACCCTTGTAAATTGCTACACAGAGAATAACTCAGTGTATAATTAAAAGTTTAATAACATCATTCTTGAGTGTTTCTCCGAATTATTTTTCTGCTATCTCGTCTTATTTTATAAACTCCTGCACAAACTTATATATTTTCATCTAGTCACTTAAATATATGGTTTCATTAAGATATCATAGTGGTTTTGTTTAGGCACGATGGTCGACTATTGTTCTCCTATTACCTATCTTATTATTTTTATTTACTATCTTACGATATTTTTCTAAGCAAATATAATTTTCTTCTTTCCTATTCACACTTTTATTACTGTTTATATAATCTACTGTGATAATTTACTTTAAATTCTCTGTACTATAAATATGATACTTCTATTTCAAAATCATAATCGTAAAAGAATACTTTGTAAACTATTGACCATTCTATTGTGTATTTATCTATTGCCTTATTCTCTAAGCGTTGTTAAGGTTATATCTAGAATATACAGAGGCCAAAACATGAGTTGTCACATAAAGACGTTTATTATTGATAATTTATTTGATCTTACAAACACACGAGCTAAAACACCGGAAAAAAACAGGACAAAGATCAAATCTGTAGTAAACAAATAGTGAAAAGATAACAACTTTCCTTGACTTTATTTTTGTGACTTAGGGAAATAGATCATACAAATAAGATGATAAAGGCTTACTGCAAAATTATACTTCCTCCTTAATGTCAACTTAATAACCTAAATTTTATAAAACCTGCTAAAACATTGTGAATACTATGTAAATATTATTGAAGTTATTGTATATGATTTCGTATTTTGATGAAACCTGAAATGGTTTCTTCACAATGCTTATTCATGAATTAGTTATATATGAATATCAACAATAATATTTTCTCGTTGCAAATTGATACTTTAATTAAAATATTGTTTGGTGTAAAATGTGTGGCCTAATCTTCTAGCCTTTTTAGCATTTGATGAAGACAATCTCTTGTTCAAGAAAATATAGTTATTTGTTTAACTCTTAATCGTTTTTTTCCATAGTCAGATTATTCACTTTGTATGGATTGGATTGTCACACAGCGTGTAGTTGTTTTATTTGTGTAATTCATTGAATCTAAAATAACTCATTTCCAAAATTCAAAAAATAATTCAGTGTTCACCATTGCACACCATACTTTGCTGATTTTCGCAACAATACTACTTATCCGTGCAACATTTGCCCTTTCTATGAGACGAAAGTCCCTAATTTTAGAAAGTTCATAGTTATTGTAATGAAGTCAATTAGGGAGGAAAATCTACCATTCCTAGTGATTTGAATCGATGCTCACTGCTTCTTCGGAATTCAATGTTTATATCCTTTATAAATCCATTCGGTAATTAGTTTTAGTAACTCTATCAGATTCCAGCTCATCGGATATATCACAGCCTCGTCTTTGATATGGTATTGAATGCAAATCAGAAGTATTGTATAGATTGTGTTTCAATATTGCTATGTTGTTGTCGTTGCCATTTCCTTCTTGATACCATGAATTAAAATTGCAATGTTTTCTTTTTGCCATTTCTACCTATACCTTTTGTAGGCTTTAGATTTTTACACACTACCATTACTTTGTCCAAATCCTCAACTACATGCACCCGATTTACAATATGTCACTCCAGTTGACCCAACATTAGAGATATCTGAGCGTTTGGAACGTGGATCTTTACCGATAGGTAAGTTTTTCTAAGTTCGCCAGAAGTTGTCAGTTAGCTTTTAGATCTAAGTAGTGTAGTGAAATTAAAATCCACAGTTTTGAGTCTAGCTCCGCGTACTTGAGTTTTGCAGCCTTGTGGTATCAGTAGTGATTACAAGGTACGTGTGGCCCAAATCCGTGTGCGTAAACATATACCTAATGTGTTAGCTACGTTACTTCTAGTGAACAATTAACGATTCTTCAAATCATTTATAAAATCCGTGCTAGGGTGCTACAATTGCAATTGCTGACACTGTCTATAGTACAAATCATCAATCGTCGAACTCACCATTGATGTGAAACAGTCAGTCAGTTATAATTAATGTTTAGTCATTAGCAAAATATACATTGACCCAAGTTTTCATACATTAACACGACGAGTTAAAAATTAATAAGGTGAATAGCAAAGAAGATTTTGATAATGTGCTGTAGTGAACGAGTAAACCAGTGGGGACAACCGACTATATTTGAAAACAAAATTACAGAATCTCTTAGTAAAATCTAAGAACTATGCAGCAAATTCTTCTTTTGCAAAATGTCAGTCAATTGTCTCAGACTTGACGGTTCCTTTGTTTCCACACCAATCACTCTCTGTTATCGTTCTCTTTTCTTTGATCTTCTTAACCTTCTGCTAGCAAACATTTCACTTTCGATTGATGATACGTACTACTTATATCTCTTAACATCAGTGGCACACACCACAGGGCACCAATGATAATGAGAAAGGATGAACATTAAGAATGTAGTTCGAACGGATAAAATGGAAGGGTGTGCATAAAGGACTACTAGAACTCAAGATATAAAAGAGATAAATAGTGAATAAATCTCTGCCCTTTCGAACGATTTTGAATCATGCCATTCAGCGTTTTAATTCAGCAGTAAATATACACCATTTCGTAGATTGATTGTAGGTGAATATGTGAAGTGCTGAGTTACGACTCCCTAGTTCAGATTCATCGAACACTCTACGATACTTAAAAGTCCTTTATTTCCATCTTATATCAGGTTGTGAGCGTTTATTGTTTAAGAGTTCCACTGCACTGCTGGTGATTTTAATAGGCCAGGTTATTTTAAAATTGAACAAATGTCCACAAAACCTCTAAGTAAACAAATGATGACTCGTCTTTCAGAGATTTCAATTACTTTATCACCAAACCAATATAATTGAAGACACGCGAACGTCTCATTTATCAGTATGTGTTTGATTTTAGTACTATCACCACAAGGAATCGTTGGTTGTTCATTCTCCATGGCTATTGATTTAAGACAATAGGCGTTTGATTTTCACTACTTCTACATTCCTGTTTGTCCAATTGTTTCATGATATCTTGGTTTTATCAGTTTTTTTAAAGAGGCATTTTAAGTTTAATGTCGAAACATACAATGACTAACTTATCTATGATCTTATGTACCAGAGAACGTGGCGTAGTCAACGTCAGTAGCTTCGTATACGTTAAATTAATGGGTAACCTATATCCTTAAGCAATGCATATGGTATTATTGATATCACAAACCGATGTATATTAGAAAACTGTTGAAAACCTGGGAACACTGATTAACCGTTTCGTTCTAGTGTTGGAATCCTTAGTAGGAGTGTTCATCCACGACGTCGCCACCGGTCATTGAACTCAGAACTTGCAGTCTCACACGCGAACACTATGTATAATATATGATGAGCTACTGCATATTGTCACATATTGCAAATCTTTGTTACTTTATTCAAAATTTCGTTACTCTGTTATTCAACATACTATTTTATTGGAAATTTTAATGTTTAGAAATATGTTCGGTTGTTACTTTTTTTCATTATAGGTTTAAAGTTAGATGCATTAGCCTGTCATGGACAAGATGGTTGTCGTGTCGTGCAAGTTTTAGGTGGTGGGGCTGTAGCTCGTGATCAAGTTCTTGTCACAAATGATTACATAACTAGTTTAAACGGTCTTTCTATGCGTTATTTAGACAATTTAAAAGCATTTGAAATCTTACATTCACTATCGCAAAATTCAGCTGTGATTCAGTAAGTAATCTTTGTCATACTATATGCACTTTCTTAAATCCCTTTCTCTTTGTTTTTTACGTGAATTTTCGGATTCGCTGTTTTGGAAGCTTAACTTTCATCTAGAAATTTGAAAATCAACTGCTCTCTGTGTACACATGTTTTGTCTTATAGCTTATGCTGTATAAGCTATATGGCTATGCAAAGCTGAAGGTCTCATATGAGGCTGGAGGTTTGCCATTGGTATTGTGGATGGTTCAGCATTGCTTTGGCAAGTTTCGCTGACTGTTCATGCACAAAATTGGTTTGCTGGTTATTCGGTTTCATTCATATTGGTGGTTGATTTTCAGTGTTCTCGGGGGTCATTGTCATTGGGACATTGTAAGGCATGTCGTCATTGCTAACATTAATGAGTTTGACTGTCGTGTAAGCGGAATAGGTCAACTTGGGCCTGTCCGTGCTGTGCATAATTGATTCACGCGATCATTGATCGGAATAACTATGCATGTGATGTGAATGTGTATATGAATGTTGCGAATGGTCCACCAGGGTTCTTGGTACCTGTGTGGTGGCGCCACGGGCTTGAGCTGTACTATTCAGATTGTAGCGTTAAAGCCTATACGGTGTCTGGCTCCCCTGTTAAACGAGGTTGAGCTGTACTGTTTGGGTTGTCAAGTGAAAGTCTGGACGGTGTCTGGTTCTCCTGAAAAGCAATGTGAAATTACCCTGGCCCATAAGGGTATATAATATAACTTATTATTATATAAGGGATAGTAACATTAAAAAAATAGGTGTCGGTTTTAAAACTGTACGAATATTAACCAGATTGGTCAGTTGAATGTTGTGTTGTTGTTTTCGTTAAGAATTGACATTGTTTCATGTACTACTGAACACTAGAGAGCTGTTTCGTTCTAGTTATGAACTTCTCATCAGTGTGCAACCATAACCATGCCAAGGGTGAAACCCATCACCACCAAGTCTCACGGCGAGCAAATTACCTGCAGGCTAACAGGTTTGAATCTTATGATATATAACATGCATTGATCAAGTCTCATACTGTCAGGAAACAAAGTGTCTAGTACCCGTCCCCTTATTTCTTGTAATTATACCCTAACTGGTATCAGTTTTGATAAGTACCAAAAAAATTTAACTAATTTCTTGGAAACTCCGTAATAAATTTGTACTTGAGTAAGTCTGCAAATATTAGTTCCCATTATGTAAAACTGATTGGTATTTTTCGCTGTACACTATGAAATAGGTTAGCATAAATAATCATTTGTAGGACACTTTATTCAATTTGCAATCTTTCTTTGTCTTTTTAATTAGTTTGATATAAGATGACCGTATAATAATATATAGGCTAAATTAATTACCTAATAAATTGCTAAAATTTTATTGTTTTTATTCATTCATCATTTCTGAGCTTGGTAGTTATTATTATTATTTTTTTGTTATGTAAATTTTAAAATTTCTCTGTGCAATTCACTTATATTACTAAATAAATATCAACAATTAGTTTACCTTTGTGTTAATTTCGTTTGTCAGTGTTTTAGTTTATTTTTTGCCTCAATTTCTATAACCAATTAACAAGTAGTTTAAAATAAACGATCAATAGTTTACTGAAATCAGTTCTCTTGTGTATACACATTAGAGTCAAAACTTTTTGAACGCCTTCTGTGCAATATCTGCATCAAAATATTCTAGTTTGTTTATTTAGGCCGTAAATCCTCAATCTCTTTGCATCATGTAGTTAAATTTAATTTTCCATCTTGGTTTATAATATCACTAACCCTATAACACTAAATGGTATTTTTAGTTGAGTAGATTCAAATACTCTTTGTTTTGTCGTCGTTCACGACGAGCCGTATTCTTAGTTGACTTCATCGAATGCCGTTTGTCATGGTTACTTATTTTCCTTTTTAAAGAATTTTTTATCATGCATTCACTTCTAAAGATGATACTTTTATCGTGTGACTTTCAAGAGATCCTTCTTTTCTATTAGTATTTCTTTCGTTGACTTATAGTATACAAATGGTAATTCTTAAAAGGAGATGGATGGTGGCTTGCAGTGGAATCCAGGGCGCACATTTCGTCCCACTTGGGACTCATCAGCTGGAGTCGCCAATTATTAACATTGTGCACGAACATATCATAGTCACAATCCATGTATACTTTATTCTTTAAGGTTTGGTCTTTCTGATACTATTATTATTTCAACTTTCGGAATCCATCTTGTTTTGTATTGAGCGCTTGCGTTCGTGTATGTACACAAATAATGTCGTTTCTTGTGTATTGTAATAGTCACTATTTTTTGAAAGTCAATCTAGATGTCTACTAGCTTACCTTAAAATACTTAACCTGTAAGAAGTTGGCGGTTATTCTAAAATAAACTGATGTATGTATTCTCTACAGGGGATTAGATTATTACAATATATTTTTCCAATACACTACACTGTTTCTCTGACTTATTAAACTCGTTGCTCATTTCGAATCCATAATCATGATTGATATCTGTCAGTCAACAATTTAATTTCAGTGTTTATTTATCTTAAATTTGGTTCTTTATCAGGATATATATTAGTTTCTTACGTATGTATTTAAAGGAATAAACGAGTTTTAAATAAGATTTATAATTTGTCATCGTAAAACTATGTGTAGCTTTCAAAATATTTCACATAAAATTTGTTATACTGACTCAGCACGAACTAATTTGACCAAAGTAATTATAACTGCATAGATGGGTCGAGTTAGTGGACTCATTTCGTTGTAATAGTTGCTTATTAGTTAAATTCGACCGTTCTTTAGCACAGGAACATACCGTATTTATATGGTTTTATAATGTGGTTATTGAGTCACTAAAACTGTTATTTAAACTGTTAAAATGAAAGTACATTTTAATTAGCATTTCGAATTGGCTAACGTGACATTATTTACTTATCAGTGATCAGTCTTTAAATTTCTTTCCTCATGAATTATCAAAGAGAGGTCAATTATTAACCAGCTACTTACTGCTCTTTTTAGTCTCCCCAATCAATTTAAACTGATTGTCCGTAACAGGAATAATGAGCCAAAAAGATTATTATTAGATTGTCTTTTACGCGACTCTAGTAATGATCCCTATTTTTTATTGCGAGTTTAACTCTTTGATATCTTAGAGTCAAACGTGAAATAACTGGATTCTAGTTATCGACTATTTCAGTGATACAAATAGATAGTTCGTAAAGAAAGTACAGAATAAGCGTTAAACTTAACATAAAAAGATATGAGTAGTGTACGACCTATCTATTCGAATGTTTGATTTCTTATTGTCCAATTAAACAAAACACACTTCAGTGTTATCATCTTTACATTATGATAAAAAAACTGAAGACTGAGTGGTTATTTGATAGTTTGTTATTACCTTAAAGTGTGACTTGTACAGTGCAGTTTATTGTGACAGTTCTGTTATATTATGTTCTCTTCAGCATAACGTATTTTCCTGCTTCCGTTATTGAATCTCATCGAATTAAATGTTTATCTAAAACATTGAATCAAACGAGTGAAAACTCTTTACAGAAAAGGTAGGTCCCATTAATTTTTTTAGTAACAGTACGAAAACGTAATAATATCCAATAACCTAGTTCTCTGCGCTCGAATTTTCTATCCAGTCTAACTCATTAGTTACATGAAAAAGGATCTTGATCTGAGTAACAAGTAAATAGATTGAACTCAAAATGATATTGAGGGGTAAAAACTAATTAAACCAACTATTTTTAATGATCTTTCTCCTGTTGTACAACAGGAGTTATCTTGAAGATCCTGATCGGTAAACGGACAACGTCAAATATATATCACTATACTCAAACGGTTTGGCCCTGGCCTTTTTTGAAGTAGGTGGGGAACTATCTGAGTTGTTTAGATAAGCTTGCGAATTAGAGGGTATTCCAACATCCTGAGATGAATCGACCGTCGCCTCCCATATTTAAAATATTTTTACGACAATCTCTAGAGAGGGGTTGCGCTGAGACCAATAGCTTACATCATACTTCGCAGGTTGTGAAATACTGACTAGCAAGGAGCTGACCAATCTTCAATCAGTTTATGGATACATCGACCATATTTCCACTTCACGTCGAACGTTGAAATGCCGCCATCGAACAGAACTGTACTCTGGAATTCTATTAAAGTAGGCTATGAGTGAGCAATTTATTGACATCGTGAGTGTTCTGTATGCAAACACCTCAGGCAGATTGAGGGCATGCAACCATCTCACTCTACTGTTCCAACCCAACAGTGGGGTTAGGCAAGGTTGGCCAATGTTACCCTTTCTTTCCAACTCAGCCATCTGTGAGATTATGAAAGAAAGCTTAGATGGGAATAGGTGGTGATGATTATGGTATAGATCTGTGACTGAGAAAAACTCTTCGATCTTGAGTATGCGGATGATATTTGCATACTATGCAAACTAACACTTAATCAGTTGGCGATCAGTGTCTGTAAGGTATGACACTTACTTTGTATCTTCTGAACGCAATGCACTTTTATAAAACTTGAATGAACCTGTGTCTGAATCCCTCTTTGTGGTGAGCCGTTAGAAGTAACCGGAAAGTCCATGTATTTGGATTGTTGTATGAACCCCGGTGGTGGCGTGACTAGTGATATTGATCTACGCATAACGAACCCCAAAGCTTTTTATACCAATAAGGTTAGTCGTTGAAGCCGTCGTGATTTTAGACTGGCTGCAAAAGTTTATGTTGTCATCTTTAATTGCACTCTTTTCACAATGTAATTTGGTCCTTGATCAGTATTTCATTATCGAGTTGAGCGCGTCCATAAGTCACGTCGTTTGAACTTAGAAGACTTCATTTAAATTGTCGTCAGTAGTTTTCATTCAGTTATTAATAACTTAGATGCTTTTTAAAGAAAATATTTAGTTTTTAGACAGTTATCAAGAATATCAACTAAGGAACGTTTAGTGATTAAAGGGTTATTAAATGGCTATTTTTTATTCATATAATATTTTCAGTGATAAATATAGCCGCATTAAAAATTGATCGCATTTATCTTTAAATAATGTCGTATCTATGTTTTACTTTCAGTCAACTTAGTTCGCTTTACTATGCTAATATTTTTTTGTATTACTTTGCATCGTTTTGCTCACAGTTCTTTTCCATATTCGTCCATTGTACAACCTGTAAATTGGTCACCTCCGGTTGCAATTGTACTTCATCGTTTAGATACTAGTCAACCCTGGGGTTTGGCTGTATCTGGTGAGTTATAAGGTTTTTTATGGTTCCTGTCTTTTTATGAATATGAAGTGAATGTTGTGATGAATGCCTTGTAATCTGGTACGTCACAAATTGGGTTGATCTACTTACCACATACTCTGGTTAATTTTAGGAGATTGGTCATCAGTTGGTAAGTTTTGAACCTGATGTTTTAACACTTTCCACTCATAATTGGAAATCTGATTATGGTCATTCCTTGTTAAAATTATTTTTACGAATTAGGATTTGATTATTTGGTGAACGGGTTTCGAACAACTAAATTAAATGATTACTATGTAATTAATAGATGGAATGCAAATTTACAATGTTGTCGTGGGATAGCTGCTAGCTAAACCGAATTGTTGATGTACGCCCACTAAACATAGGAATATGTTTTTTTATCAAACAAAAATGAAAATGAATAAGTATCATAAACGATTAGCGGAAATCAGTTTTGTAGATTGCTCACTCCAAAGTGAATTGAGACCTGGCTTTTAGGTCGAACTCATATCCGTCATATCAGATGTAATAGTGGATGGAGCATGAAGTTCCCCAAACCTACGTACCTAAGAAAGTCAGGAGGTGAACCCGGAACATCGTTCAGAAGAAAGATGAAAGCTCCACGACCAAACCATCCAGCTCACAGAACAAAACTCCATCAAAATCATCCATCATCCAGGTTTCACAGCAAACGCGTTAATTCAGCTAGAACATTTATTCAACGCCAGTGACGGACCCGCTCAAGTTTTTTCCCACAACATTTCTCCGAGAATCCATAATTCCATTTCAAAGCTAGTCACTATTGAGCTAAGGATTAAAGTTTGGTTTATAGAGATTAAGATTTATTTAGCTTTTTATTTAAATACATAAATATTCATGCAAAGGTCATCAAAATCAACATGAGCCGCACAAAGAAGCAAATGGAAGTGTGAAGAAATAGATAAACCAGTGCGAAGATGGTGGAAAAAATAATTCAGTGATTAAAAAATGAATGAACGAGTTTAGTCTATTATAGGCGAGTCCACTCCTCGATATCTAACTCACATGCCAGTGGGACGACGTCAGGATATTCTATAACATAGTGGCTGGTGACCCTGGAATCCGAGTGCACTTTTGACTTGGAATTAGGGTTGTTCAACTCCCCTTTGTGATTCTTCCGTATCCAGAATCCCGGTTTAACTCTGGGCATACGCTCTTCGTCCTCAATTTCGTAAACAACATTGCCATGAGAAGACGGTGATTAGGAATTCTTTAGCAGCAGCTATATCCATGTGGCCGTATGGAAACGTTTTTTGAGAGCGAGGAAAGACATTGTCCACATTTATTTATTTATTTGAACACATGAATATTGGTACAAGAGAGCGCCAATATATATGCGCCACACAAAACAATGAGAATTCGAAGAGAAATAGAAAGAAAAAGCCAAGGAGCGCAAAAAAAAGAACAATAACGAGGAGATTAGTGTGAGGTAGTATGGTAGAAATGAGGGAACGGAAAGGTGCAATCAGAAGAAATCTTTCAGGTAAGGGAGACAGAACCACTTTTTATGAAGAAAGTAAAAGAAGGTTACAGCAGGATCACCACTGGCTTCTATTCTGAGCCATATCTGATAACGTCTCTAGCCACTGTGTAGCACCATCTCTCAGACCCCAACCAGGGAGTCGTGAAGGACCGACAGAAGCCAGTCCTTTGCAGCTTTCTTTCATACCACGACGCCGTGTCGTGCACTGACCACCTATCCGCTTCTTCCAACCAGTCCCAGAGTCGGCAAATAATGCACGACGTGGAATTCTCTGGGACGACATTCGGAGAACATGTCCAAGCCACCGAAGTCGGTGTTTCAAGATGGTGACACCAATTGAATTATCATCTCTGTGCCCGAACACACGATGCCGAACCTCTGCATTACTGACATGGTGTTGCCACTGAATGTCAGCAATCCTTCGGAGACAGCGATGATCGAACACAGAGAGTCGTCTAACGTCCTCAACTCGGAGAGGCCGGGTTTCACAAACATAGAGCAAAACTGCTCTCACCGACGCGTTGTAGATCCGCCCTCAATCTGCCTGAGGTGTTTTTATACAGGGCTTTTAGGATGTTAATAAACTTCTCAGGCACACCCTTCTTCAATAGACAATCCCAGAGAACAGCCCTGTCCAACGAATCGAAGGCAGCCCTGATGTCAAGAAACACTACGATTGTTGACTTCGAAGGTGCAAAGCACATACCATACCTACGGACACTGATTGCCAACTGATTAAATGCGGATTGCATGCCTTGGGCATTATCGCACAGTAAGACAATATCGTCCGCATACTCAAGGTCGAGAAGTCTTTCTCCAGGCAACAGATCCACACCACCATTACTTACATTCATCAGAGCTGTTTCCAGAATGTCATCGATGGCAAAGTTGAAGAGGAATGGTGAGATTGGGCAACCCTGCCTAACCCCACTGCTCGAATGGAACAATGGAGAGAGGTGGTTGTATGCCCTCAATCTGCCTGAGGTGTTTTTATATAGGGCTTTTAGGATGTTAATAAACTTCTCAGGCACACCCTTCTTCAATAGACAATCCCAGAGAACAGCCCTGTCCAACGAATCGAAGGCAGCCCTGATGTCAAGAAACACTACGATTGTTGGCCTTTGAAAAGTATGGCGGTGTTCTAACATTTGGCGGAGGGTGAAGATATGATCAATACATCCTCGACCAGAACGAAACCCAGCCTGCTCCTCGCGAGTCAATCTTTCTCGGGTTTTGAACAACCTACGAAGAATGACGGAAGCCAATAGCTTGGACGCAATCGGAAGTAGAATTATCCCCCGATAGTTGTTACAAGAACGACGTGAACCCTTTTTAAAGATAGGGACAACTATCGACTCATTCCATGACGTTGGTACACTCTCTAGTTCCCAAACCTTTGTAAACAATGTCGTCAATTCCTTAGTCAAAAAGTCACCACCATCTTTAAAAAGAGCCGGAGGTAAGTCATCTGGGCCAGGTGATTTGTAACGCTTCAAGAGTTGGAGTTCCTTGTGGACTTCCTGCTCGTTTGGTGGATCAGTCGTCACCGGCCATGGAGGGCAGGACAGTCTGACCGATGTTGCCGGAGCAGCAGGCCAAGGCACTTACCGACTGTCCAGTGTTCCGTAATTTTGCTTAGTTCTTCAGCTGTAGTAAATGTTTGACGTAAGTCGTCTACAAACTCAAAATAACCTTTTCTGTATTATTGAACTTCAAAATCTTGAGTAAAATATTGATTCTGTGTTATGATAGCAGTGTAACTATGCAAGGCATACATCCAGCTTCTTGTACTCATTTTTATGTGGATGTTTGTATGTTTAAGTCAATTTTCATATTGTGCATTACTATTCCTTAACTAAACCAGGTTATCCTGTTTACATTCTTGATGAACAGTGACGAATTCTTCAATTTTCTATTGACACATATCTGTTTGTATGTGTATTTCAGTGTACACTCCTAATCTTCGAAGTATTACAAAACCAATATCATTGTGTAACTAGATATTTTCTTTATTTTCTGTTAATAAATAGTAGACTATTGAAAATGTAACTTTTCTTTTCTGTTAATTGTTGTTTAAAGGTTCTGATATTTGTTCAAAATTGAATTGTTCAGCACCAATGAATTTAGAAAATCCAAGCATTGTATCCGAGATATTGCCTAATAGCGTAGGAAAAAATTGTAAATTGCTTAGTCGTGGTCTATTGATCTTACAAGTAAGTCAGTGTTCATTGTCTTTGTTGCATGATGATTTATTTTTTTTTCATCAATTTATGTTCATTAGTTTTATTTCAATTGACCAACTTTCATTCATTCATGTATCACTGGAATTAAAGAAATATATGTTTTCTTATATGTCATGACTATTATTCTTGTTCTTTAAAAATTAGAATCCGAAAACGTTAATAAATTTGTTACAATTTAGTTTGTGCTCCACACATTTTAAATCATGATTTTTGTAAGCTCATATTATCCAAGATTATAGGAAGTAATCTTTCAATTTAAATATGAATTTATCATTTATAGTGCAAATTATATTGAATATCATACTCTCCCTTCGAAAACAGACGAATGTCATATCATCGTTACATTTAGTTCAAGTTAATAAAAGGTTTTTCTTGCACTCATGTCGAAGGTCCGTTAATTTGTAGAGGTTAATTCCTTTCTCAACTCACCAGGGTTCATACGAATTGCACTATATATAGTAGATAACGGTCCCAACAAAAAGTATGTTAAATAGATTGTTTAACAATAGCCTTTCGCTATACTGATATTGTTCCATAGTATACTCAAGTTCACTGGCAAGATCTGAGTTTATAGTTTATATATAATTTTATTTCGGAAAATTTGTTACAAAGATATTCTTTCTAAGTAAGAACAATTTTCTGTTTCCCACACAAAATGATATAGCATGGAGGGAGAAATAGATTGTTTGATTGATAGATGGTTATCTATTTTTGATTGTTAGTATCCTGAGTCTCAAACCTCAATATAATTTTAGGACTGTTTGTACGTTTTAATCACATGTCCAATTTTAATTCTAAGTGTATGTTGCGAATACTTACATAACCATAACAAAATGGATCGTTGAAGTATCTGATCTGATTTCAGGGTATATATTCATTTTGTATATTTTAAGGATAAGTTGTGTATATATTTTAAATTCAACCTTAAAGTCCTGTAAATTAAAATCCGATATATCGGTTTAAGCTATCGACTGTAACATATCGGATATTGTTTTAACGATTTGATACCTATTAGAGATTTGTTTTTTCATGCAATAATCTTTGTTTAGACAATTGTTAGTTCACCTTCCTGTTTTTTTTCCAGGTTAATTTCGTCCACAAATAATAGGGCCTAGAAGAGATAAAGACAACATTTGCTACTATTCTTACTGATTAGTTAATAAGTTCACTTGGTATTGTTTGTTTGAATTTTCCCATTAATGTTCAGGACTGCAATTGATCAGCCTCTTATTGGCATATATGCATACTGTGCGTATTGCCTCGACATAACCTTAATTCACAAGCATTATATACAAAGATGGATAGTGGCTATCGGTGGAATCCAGGACACGCGTTTCGTCCTATTCGGGACTCGTCAGCTGGATGTGCCTGCACCTGAGTTGATGTTCACTCTGGTGCTCGAACTCTGTACCATTCGCTTCAAACACCGCGTTATCCACTTAGCTACTGAGTCATGATAGCCACTTGCTTGTGCAATGGGCTGAAGTTTAAATTGTTTTTTTGAATCTTTCCATTGATGTTTAGAACTGCAATCGATCAGTCTCTTATTGACATATGTGAAACGAACGGTACTGAGTCCGAGCCCCAGAATGGACATCAACTCTGAGGTGCAGGTACATCCAGCTGACGAGTCCCAAATAGGACGAAACGTGCGTCCTGGATTTCACTGATATCTACTATCCTTCTTTACATATATTTAGTTAATAAGTTTGTTCATGTCATACATTAATATAAACTGATCACAGTAAAAATAAGAATATTTACTGTATTTTACATCATGTGTTTGAGTACAGTAAAGTTTTCAGCAAAGGGTCTCAACTAGTTCTGCCGGTATGACATCTTTTTATCATCCCACAATATAGTGGATGCATAAATTTCCTAGTAATTACCTTTTGCTTTTCAAAATGATAGGCAATAAGAAAAACATACCAAGTACCTTAATGTTTGCCCTTAAAGTTTTCACTATTTTCGTGCAGTATTCAAACCACTCACATCGTGATTAAAAGTCGAGTACTTTAACTACTGTGTTGGCGTAAAGGGAACGTCAGTTATGGATTGGTTCGTAATTGAGAAGATCCTTTGTTATGTAATTTAACCTTGTGTTCTATTTTGATTATATTTTAATTGTCTACTGTACACTGTGCAATACTTACTAACCATGTGACCCGACTAAGTGTTACTACTTGATAAAAATATATAACCATTAAAGTTTTTGACCATATCAAGATATGATATTCTGTTCATATGTCTAAGAGTTTGCATATAACAACTGATCAAAAAATCACGCTATAAAAACTTTTAGTAATAAATTAGAATTTGACCAGTAATACTATAAAACACCAATTTTGTGTTTGTCTGTCTTTTTGATCAATTTTAGATTCAAGGTATCGATGTCTCCACCAAAGGTCCAAATTATGTCAATGCTTATCTGCAGTATCTGTCGGATCAGCCTGGTCTACGTGAAATTCACATAGTTGTGTGCCATTTTAATGATGATTGTACAAAACATATTATTAATGGTGATGTTGCTGAGATGTTTAATCCAGGCAATCAAGTTAATATTACCAATTATACTACTACTACTACTACTACTACTACTACTACTACTACTGACAATAATAATAATAATAACAACAATAACAATAATTTTACTGATAAAATGGAGGTAAGGGATGGATTGATTGTTTATTAGCTTTTTAAAAATCTTGTTGTAAGTTGATTAAAGACGTTTTCACTACATTGCACTAGCAATTATCATCATGATATTTTGCTTTTCTAGATGAATTTATTTGTTCACAATATACTATTAGTATTTAGGCTACTATGATTTGTACTTATTATGACTTATTTATTTATTTGAACACATAGATATTGATACAAGGGGGCACCAAACACATATGCACCACTCAATAACAATGAGGCCAGTAGTGGTTATCATTGATTTGTGCGAAGCCTATGATACTGCCAGAGCCCCCAAATCGAAGCTGGTGTTTTTCTACGACGACCATTCCTCGAGCCTTTGACCTGAAGGTCTAATCCACAAAGCAGTGGAGAAACGTAAGGATATGCAGTCCCATGGTAGCCGGTGACCAACAATAAGTCATTTATTCCCTCAGGATCCGGCAGTCCATAGAATCAGGATTTTTCAACTCCCATAGGTGGATCCTCTATATTCACCAATCCGGTTAAAGCGCCAGACATTTGCCTTTCTCCCTTCCAATTTCGTAAACAACATGCCAGCCGCGAGAAGGCAGTGATTAGGAATTCCCTGGTAGTGGCTGTATACCCGTCGCCATATGAGAGCATTTCAAGAGAGAGAGCTGACTCCTCACCCTCGGTTGTGCCGGGGCTAAATGTTTATCATAGATGTGAATGATAAAACAAACCTCCTAATTGTATGTAGAAAGTATTTATATGTTGTCACTAGATAAAAAGCTAATTAGTAGATTAGCATATAAATTCCTGAACGTAATGTTGTCTCACCTAAAATTAAAATCCATAAAAAGCCTAATGGAGTCAAATGAAGATACTATTCGTCTGTAAAGTTGTTCTCAATTGATTAGGTTCCTCTTCTGGATCCGCGTGATATTCGTGATGCATGTTTGCAAACATAATTTAACATGATCCAAAATCGATCACAGTTTGATGTTTGTATAATTTTATCTGTGAGTGTTCATACGTAACTTATGTATAGAATAATAGATATGTACTCATAGATATTTTCAAATAGTTTAAAGCTCTCTGTCTTTCGTTGTTTTTTTCCTTCTCATTTTGATATTGGTTTGCAATACAAATCAATTTAAACGTATCCAGGGCTTTTAAAACTCAACGTAGACTAATGAAAATTAATTGTTATTAGTTCTTTCGTCAAGCTATTACTTTTTCAGTCTAAATTAAGTGGTTTAATGTGTTTGTTTATTTAGAGGGACATGGAAAATTTGTGCATACCCTGTTACTGGTATTCTAATTAATGCAATAATTTCTCCTTTTTTTATCCATGATCCAGTTATCCAACTATTTAAATATCTCCACACCTATCAATGGTCAACTAATATATGATCATATTGTCCACCCAGGGACATCTCCAAGTTCCAGTGATATGGAAGATCCTGAACCACTGGTTAGTTTATTTTTCTTCGTGTTTTTATTTCTTACTTCGTCGTTTTGCTTATATTCTTTTCATTCAAACTGTTAAAGTATGATGTTAATTTAATAACGCCATTAAATCAGTGCTTGAAGACACTGACTTCTGGTCTGAGCCATGTTGGTAGAATCAGACTACTTAATCGGGATCCGTGTGACTATAGGAACCAATGGTCGGAGACTCTGGGTGATATGGCTCAGAATCTGTCTTCTCTTAACCTATGAGATTAAAATCGCTTCATATCTTTCTTTCTACGTACTAAATCTTTCTTCCTGTACTACATCCTTATATGTAATCTTTCTTTTATATATTACCACCATTGACTGAACTACTTCTATGAATCCGCTGTTCATCTTGCTGTGCTAATGAGGTATGACAACTTGGACCGATGCATATATGTGCGTGGTCCTACGTTTTATCCGACTGACTGTGCTACTGAAATTAATTGAGATACGGAGTTTAATTCAATACTTTATTTCTACTTTTCTTTACTTCTTTTTTTGTCACTGAACAAGTATTTTGAGTGACTTCATATATTCAGAAATCGTTACTACTCACATGTACGAATATAGATTAAAGTAGTGAAGTGTCCAATATTTAAAAGTCATCATCGTTATGGATATGCTTCGGTTTTAAAAAACAACACAAAAGCTTAATATTTCAAACAACTCGGCACTAGAATAATTCACTTGAGCTATGAACTTCTAAGATCGTTTCAGATGAGACAGGATCATTCATTCATAAAATGTCAATCACAAGCTAACTAATAAGCTCTCAGTTCTGTCGATTGTCTCGTTTTTAAACGATAAATATCATAACCTCATATTGCATTCGAATTTATTCAGATGATCGTGTCAAGACTATGTAGGAAGTTTTGAACTTTTTATTGGGCTTTACAGAATCCAGTTTATATTGAGGGCGATATTCATCACGGATTAATTTATGTTGGGTCCCTTGATGTGTCAGTGATACACATTTCCAACTTTTATCGATTCGAAATATAGCGCAACGACAATCCAAAAACAACTACTGATGATTTTTTGATCTCTCATATATCTGAATTCCACGGGTCAAAACTTCTCACTAAGATTTCAGGAACTGATCAAAAAGTATTTCTCTAATGACTACAATTATACTATTTTTCTGACAGCTTATATGGAAACTAGTTTTATTTGAAGACGGTATTCATCACAATTTGGTACCCCGAATGGGATCAATTTCTAATAAATAACACCTTCAAGTCTATATTTGTCTACTCGACTTTCTGTTATTGCATACATATATAGCTTTAAACGCTATCCAACTGTTGAACTCTAAATAGTTACAAGGTAGTACTGATAAGAACTGTACAAATTATAATTAATTAGTCAACTATTGTTTATGCAACTAAAATACATTCTGAAGATTATATGCATACAATTATTTCTTGAATATCTGTTTGGTCATCAGAAGTCCATATATTTATTAAGATGGTACCTGTTTACGTTTTTATGATATAAATTTAAGCTTAACACATTACATGAAGTCGATGGACTTAAGTATTATTGTTAAACATTGGTACAAGGAAGCCAAAATATATATGCACGATACAACAAAAATGAGGTCGTGAAGAGATAGAGGAAGGAAAGTGAATATAACAAAAACAAGAAAAACTATGTATAGATATTGGTGCATGTGAGTGAAATAATGATGGGAGAAGCAGTTCAGTTAAGCAAAATGCAACCAGAAGGGATATTTTTCAGTTAAAAAAGTTGCTCCCACTTTTATGAAGGAAGCCAAAGTTACAGCAGGATCACCACTGGCTTCGATTCTGAGCCATTTCTGGTAATGTTCCAACCCTATATGTTGCACTATCTCGGGGACCACAACAAGATAGTCGTAAGGAACCAAGAAAATCTGATCCTGTACAAATTTCTTTCATACCTCGAGATCATGTCATAAACTAATTACCTCTCCAGTCAGTCCGAGAGTCAGCAAAAAGGTTACAGTGTGGAAGTCGCTATGGAAAAGACATTCTTTGCACATGTCCAAGCCACCAGAGTCAATGTTTCAAGATGGTGACAGCAACCGAATTATCTTCAATGTGACCAAACACACGCTGCCAAACCTCTGCATTAATAAGAACACGGTGTTTCCACTGAATTCCAATAGTCATTCGTAGACAACGATGATCCGACGCAGAGAATCGCCTAACATCTCCAATTCGAAGAGACCATTTTTCAAAAACATATAGCAATACTGTTTTCCCCGACGCATTAAAGACCTGACCTTCTACAGCGAGACTAACGTCACTCACGCCACCAACAGCACTCACTGAGCTACCCAAATACACGAACTTCTCGACTACTCATGTTTGCTTACCACCAAGAGTGAGTGCAGGTTTAGGATCTTGAGAGTCTTGTAAAAGTACTTTGCACTGCCAAGGTGCAAAGCAAATGCCATACCCACGGACACTGGTTGCCAGCTGATTAAGTGCAGATTGCATCGCTTAGGTACCATCACACAGTAGGGCAATATCATCCGGACACTCAAGGTCGAAGAGTCCTTCTCCAGACAACAGATTGACACCACCATTACCCACATCCATCAAAGTTGATTTTAGACCGTCATTGATGGCAAAGTTGAAAAGGAATGGTTAGATTTGGCAACCCTACCTAGCCCCGCTTCTGGGTTAGAACAATGGAGAGAGGTGATCGTATGCCCCCACTCCGCCAGTGGTGTTTGTATATAGGGCTTTTAAACACACCTTTCTTCAATAGACAATCCCATAGAGCAGTCCTGTCCAATGAATAAAATGCGAGCCTGATGTGGAGAGACACTACGATTGCTGGCTTGTAATAAGTATGAAGGTGTTCTAAGATTTGGGAGAGGGTGAAGATATGACCAATACATCCTCGACCAGGACGAAAACCAGTCTGCTCCTCGCAAGTCAACCTTTCATGGGTTTTGAACAATCTACGAAGTATGACGGAAGTCAATAATTTGGATGCCATCAGAAGTAAACTTATCCTCCTATGGTTGTTAGATAAGTGAAGTGGACTCTTATTAGAGATAGGGATAACTAACGACTCATTCTATGGTGTTGGAACATTCTCTAATTACCAGACATTTTAAAACAATTCTGTCGTTACATCACTAATGTCCAAGACTTCATATTTTTTTTCATTACTTGTAGTAAGCCTATTCATTCTTACGAATTTTTTTCACGATATACTACTAATTTTATTGAAGTAGATGTCTTTAATGTCGTGAAATCATCATCAATATATTGGGCACTTAGCTTTATAATAATAAGTAATGTTTTTGAAGTAGTCAAAATATTGGTCATCGATTTACCGTACCATATTTTCATTAAGTATTTATATTTTGTCTATAAACTGTGTTTACATTCTGTGCTATAGTTAGTCTACTTATTAGTTGGGTTTATTCATGCTTTCACTGTTCATATTCTATTATAAAATATGTTGACATCCGAAATGTTTTACTAAAGACTATTTTAGTCTTTGATTAGATTGTAAATGTAAACGGAAAGTATTTATTGATAGTTGTGTTACACTGTTTTTTCTTTAGTGAATTTCTCCAAGGTAGAATTTCGAAATTGATAGTATTAGATGATCTTCACTATATGATTGAAGTTTAGATTATAAAATCTGGGATAGGTGTTTATTTTGTTTTTGTTTTATACATCATACGAAAACACTAACTGGTATTTTTAACTTGTACCAATGCCTATTTGTTCAAATACATATATAAAACTCATCAATTCACGTTCGACAGCATGATTTTGATTTATTCTAGTTCTGGAGCATCCATAACATACTGACAATAGAATCTTTAACTGATTTAACAGGTACCGATTCGTCTACTTGGGTTGGAGTCACGCTAAAAGTGTAAAGACTGGTGATGCTATCCAGATGCCCAAACCGAACCTACAACTTAATTGCTAAAAGTCAATTGCCTTAATCACTGAGCCACCTCTCGACTCCAATTTTTTATTATATACAAAACATAACAGCTGTGAAACTCAACAAACCGTGCGATATTTTTTACATCGATTATGTCTGAGAAGAGTGTAGCGAGATGAATTCTAAATGTTAGTTCTGTTAGTAATCAAGAATTTTATTTTTGTTATCGTTTCTTCTAATTTCTCTCTTCCTCATTATAGACTGATATGGAGTCTCGTGATGTGGTGGATATTTTATCTCGATCAGTGCCGTCGCCAGATCCGAATAATTCTTCTGATTCACAGCATAATACATATAGGAAAACTACTCTATGTCCACTATCTCAACTTTCATCGCCTATTTTAAAAGATGAGGATAACGCTGTCAGTACTGATGTTATGTTTTCAACGTATGAAAAATGCGATAAAAAATCAAAACTACAAAATGGCTGGGTTAGTGACAGTGTTTGTAGTTCTAGTTCTTCATCATTTCCTCCACTTCTACTACCTTTTAGACGATTGTCTACAACATCTAAAGAACAAGAGCCGACTGGTTATTTAAAACCTATGGTAGTTAATGATTCAAATGTAAATGAATGTAAGTTTAGAAACTCATTGTAATAATTGGTTTTCGAATTTCATTTTTACCATCTAGTGAAACAGAAATGTAGGTTCGATCTTATGTGCAGTCATCGATGTACACTATAAATCCGAATCACATGTCTAGTACTGTGTAATTTACAACAATTCGTAATTGATGAAATCCAAGTGCTTCAGAATTTTATATCAAATACTTCTCACCAATTCACTAGATAATTATCTTCTTATTCGTGCAGTAATACAGAATCAGGATCCTACATGTACACACACCTTACGTTTCATAGACGTATGCATTTCTGACAGGCGCTAGGTTCTCGACGGCAATTTTTTTACATCTGGTTTAAGATTTTTCGGCTGCTAACAGTTTTGAGCGAATGTATGTTTCCAAGTTAGTGAAGTGATCAGTCGTGGAAATTTCTCAACTCTATATTGTGTTACTCACTACCACTGAACCGTGCTTCTAAGAAAACAATCGTACGACAGATAGTTGCAGCATTCATCAAAAGTATTTTGATTTTACTCAGTTGTTTTATCGTGAGATTCTTAAGCTGATAGGGTTGACATGTTCTTTACAGATCGTAAAAATTGCGCATTGATCAATCTGTACTAATTTAGAGAGCTGAGATTTCTCAGGCAAACAAATAAAATATACAAATCACACGGGTATTATGAAACTTAACAAATGACCAGCGAAACTTATTCATTTTGTAAAATATTATGCTAGTAAACTTTCTTATCCAAAATATCGTTATGCAAAAAGTAAATATCATTGAAGGTTATTTTTAAATGCAAATTGTTCAACTTATCTATAGGTTCCGATATTTATCTGTTTTAATTTATCTACCTCCCGGTTTGCATTGAATTTATGTTATTAATATCGGTTGAACATTTGAAACCAATTCTACAATTAAACGTTTCCTATAATATTTTTCTTTTGTTGTAATCCCTCTGTCTTGGTTTTGTGTTTTTGAATTGGTTCTATTTTGTTCATTATACAATACATTTTAGTAAATTTCTATAGTCCTGTGAAATTGTACACACGTGATAGCCAAGATAAGATACTTTTTATTCATCTACCATTACTAATTAATTCTTCATCAAACTACACCCATAATGTTAACGAAAAAACGGGAAATTTGGGTTTGCATCTTGTAAGCTGTTCTAATCCCGAGAGTATGGCTACATTTGTTGCAAGCTGTCAAACGGATTCTAGTGGCGGTCTTGAGTGTGGAGATGAAATTGTACAGGTTAGTTATAATGGATAACAAAGTTTTAATTCTCACGTGGTAATGTGTATCATTCAGTCAATAAAATACAGCAATTAAATGTTGACTCTTCGAAATTTGTTGCCATTAATCACGTAGTTCATATTCTTCTTCAACAACAAAATGATTGCCACATTTTCAGTACTTTTTATCCAGTAAAATTGCCTGCACAATCACAATCTAATTGGTTAATTGTTCAGGTAGGCGTTTTTTGAGAAATTCCATACACGGAGTTCCCTTTATCTTTGTTCTTGCTCTTTTCTAAATGGTTAAATAAATGTATCTTTTTTAATAGTTACCTGTTTTTACTTATTTGTCATTACTCGTGGCTCCGAAACACGTCTTACATATAAAGCGATTGTGGATAATCGACAGACAACCTTGGACCTACATTTTGTGCTATTTGTCACTCATTGGCCAGCTGTGCCTTTAATCTTGAAAGATCTAGTTTTTCGGTCTACGGGAAATGCTCTCAGAGAAAGTACCTTCCTTCTCTAACCTTTCAGAGGTTGGTTTTCTATCAGTAGGTTCAGTTTTTGACTTAGAATACCCAGATGTTATAGTTCAGTTTGGTGAAGTCTTTGACAGAATACGGTTTCCTGATCAACATAAGAACAATGCAAATATGTTTGGAATGCGGATTGAATTGCGTCATTGCCTGAATTAGTGATAGGGAGTGAGGTAATTGGGAGTGTCGATCGCTTTACTTATCTAGGAAGTTTCATCAGTACTGATGATCTGGGCTCTGGTGAAATTTCGGTAGATTCAGAAGACTCGATTGCTTTATGCTAACTTGAATGAACAGTGGTGTAGGCGAGATAGCCGTCTTCCGAACAAAGGACAAGTTTACTGCTCAGCAGTTTGCTACATTATACTTAACGGGTGTTAAACATGCTTATATTTGCTTTTTATCCTTCAAGGAGGGTCATAAGTTATCCAATATTCTCATGTACACCATAGTATCGAAGATGCCTCCACAAGATTTTTCTATCCACACTGTCATATGCCTTTTTATAGTTGGTTTAATATCTCTTTTATATCATACATTCTTTATGTACTATTTTAAATGGCTCTTTCGTGTTTCTTTTTCATTTGTTTTATACTGTTCGCTTACGTGCGTCTATATCCGATATTTAGGTTGAAGACGTCAATGTCTGTGGGTTAGATCATATCTCCGTTCAACAGATTATCCACTCAAAAATTACCGAATTAATGTCGAATAAGTATTCAATCAATAACTCAAGTAATAATTATTTTATTGGTAATGATAATAATGGACAATTGAGTGATTTTGATCAATCAGTTATCAAATCTTTCATTACACTAATCATAAGACGAAATCCCAAAAATTTGTCATTAATGTCATTTTCACGGGAGTGCAATGATTCACCGTTGAGTGTAGATAATTTGACTGGTGTAAGTTAATCTCACTACAATATTTTTTTTCCAATTTATATCAGCTACTGATAGATTTTTAAGAAACATTGCTTGATATTGTAAAATAATGATATTTTGTCCTTTTTTGATTTGTATTGTCATTGCATCTCCTTACGATGCTCCACTGCCTTGTGGGTTAGACCTTTAGGTCAAAGGCTCGGGTAGTGGCCCCCTAAGAAAACCACCTGCTTCGGTTTGGGTACCCGGGCAGTATCACAGCCCGCACACAAATTGATGATCTCTTTATGCCTATGGAAATTACCTTTCTCGCTTTGAAAAACAAACAATTGATTCAGATTATTATCATTACAATTATTGTCATTATTAATACTAATATTATTATTACTACTATTATTGCCATTATTATTATTATTATTATTATTATTATTATTATTATTATTATTATTATTATTTTCCACATTATTCACCCTCTTTTATACTTATACAGCGGCTTGTCTTTGGTGGAAGTCCGACTGTATCTAATCGTTCTCGAGTCACTGTCCGGTTGAAAATTGTATGTTACCATCGAATATGAGTACTGAAGCAGTGTTTCTGAAACCACGTGCACCATTCAAACTGGCTGCCTTCAACGTTCGCACATTTATGCAGGTCGGACAACAGATAGGGCTGGCTATGTCTTTGGAAAGTCTTAATATTGATGTTTGTTGTCTATCCGAGAGCCGTATTCATAACTCTGGCGAAGTACTACAAATTCGCTCTACATCTGTCACTTCAAAAAGCTTGTTTTACGTGCGCTTATGTCTTTTCGTCATCTCCGCCTATGCCCCGACAGATTGCAGCCCGGATGCAATCAAGGATGAGTTTTACCACCAGTTATCTGTTCTTCTCCAGAAAGTGCGTTCGACAGATATTGTAGTACTAGCCGGAGACTTGAATGCTCAGGTCGGGCGTCTAGGCACAGAAGAGAGTCGTTTAGGTGGCCGATGGGGACTTGTTGGTCGCAGGTCAGATAACGGGGACCGTCTACTGCAACTTTGCACAGACCACAACCTGTTTCTGGCTAGCACTAATTTTCGGCACAGTCATCGCCGATGTGCCACCTGGCGTCCTCCCTCTGCATCTCAAGCCTAGACTCAGATTGATCACATCGCGATCAGCTACCGCTGGCGTGGTTGTGTACAAGACTGCCGCTCCTTTTGGAGTACCTATCTGGACTCTGACCATGCCTTGGTCTGCGCTAATCTTGCCTTACTTTTCAGTGGACAACGAAGTGAACGCCATCAACGGATTGATGTTAGCAAGCTGGTTGCAACTTCTGTTGCAAATAAGTATCGAACCGAGCTAGCCTCTAGGCTAGCTACCACTCCAGCGAAAAGTATAGATGAACATTGGTTGCAATTGCATGACGCCATGAAAATGACGGGAACAGTCAGTTGTGGGTTTGCGAAACGTCCCGCTTTTAAGCACTGGGTTTCTCCAGGTTCCTTACAACTCATTGAAGCCCGTCGGTCTACTCCGGGTGACCGTGAGTTTGACCATAAACGAAGGATGTTACGTAAGGAAATTGGGCAAAGCTTGCGTAAGGACCGAGAAGCCTGGTGGTCGATGCGTGCTAATGAGCTGGAAGCAGCAGCTGCATCTGGTAACTACCGGAAGCTCTTCCAACTCATCCGAGCCACTGGCAGCAAGAATTCTGGTGTGAGTGAAACAATCTGCGAGGATGATGGGATGCCAATCACTAACATCCATCGACGTCTTGGACGATGGACAGAATTTTTCGAAGGGCAGTTCAACTGGCCTGCTGCTCCGGCAACATCGGTCAGACTGTCCTGCCCTCCATGGCCGGTGACGACTGATCCACCAAACGAGCAGGAAGTCCACAAGGAACTCCAACTCTTGAAGCGTTACAAATCACCTGGCCCAGATGACTTACCTCCGGCTCTTTTTAAAGATGGTGGTGACTTTTTGACTAAGGAATTGACGACGTTGTTTACAAAGGTTTGGGAACTAGAGAGTGTACCAACGTCATGGAATGAGTCGATAGTTGTCCCTATCTTTAAAAAGGGTTCACGTCGTTCCTGTAACAACTATCGGGGGATAAGTCTACTTCCGATTGCGTCCAAGCTATTGGCTTCCGTCATACTTCGTAGGTTGTTCAAAACCCGAGAAAGATTGACTCGCGAGGAGCAGGCTGGGTTTCGTTCTGGTCGAGGATGTATTGATCATATCTTCACCCTCCGCCAAATGTTAGAACACCGCCATACTTATCAAAGGTCAACAATCGTAGTGTTTCTTGACATCAGGGCTGCCTTCGATTCGTTGGACAGGGCTGTTCTCTGGGATTGTCTATTGAAGAAGGGTGTGCCTGAGAAGTTTATTAACATCCTAAAAGCCCTGTATAAAAACACCTCAGGCAGATTGAGGGCGGATCTACAACGCGTCGGTGAGAGCAGTTTTGCTCTATGTTTTTGAAACCTGGCCTCTCCGAGTTGAGGACGTTAGACGACTCTCTGTGTTCGATCATCGCTGTCTCCGAAGGATTGCTGACATTCAGTGGCAACACCATGTCAGTAATGCAGAGGTTCGGCATCGTGTGTTCGGGCACAGAGATGATAATTCAATTGGTGTCACCATCTTGAAACACCGACTTCGGTGGCTTGGACATGTTCTCCGAATGTCGTCCCAGAGAATTCCACGTCGTGCATTATTTGCCGACTCTGGGACTGGTTGGAAGAAGCGGATAGGTGGTCAGTGCACGACACGGCGTCGTGGTATGAAAGAAAGCTGCAAAGGACTGGCTTCTGTCGGTCCTTCACGACTCCCTGGTTGGGGTCTGAGAGATGGTGCTACACAGTGGCTAGAGACGTTATCAGATATGGCTCAGAATAGAAGCCAGTGGTGATCCTGCTGTAACCTTCTTTTACTTTCTTCATAAAAAGTGGTTCTGTCTCCCTTACCTGAAAGATTTCTTCTGATTGTACCTTTTCGTTCCGTCGTTACTACCACACTACCTTACTCCAATCTCTTCGTTATTGTTCTCTCTTTTTTTTGTTGCGCTCCTTAGCTTTTTTTCTTTCTTTGTATTCCTCTCGAATTTTCATTGTTTTGTGTGGCGCATATATATTGGCGCTCTCTTGTCCCAATATTCATGTGTCCAAATAAATAAATAAAAAATGATCAAAGTTGTGCTTAAACATTTGTCTCCCACAGTATGGAAATAATGTAAGTATAAACATTCTATAATTTGGGTTGCTGTTGTTAACCTGGAGTTCAGTGAATAACTATGGTGTTAAATGCTGTGTGTACTAGGTCCAGGTCTCACTAAAAACGCCAATATCAATATGTACGTACAAAAATCTAGTGAGTTTCGAATAGGACTGAATCTGTACCGTGGTTTCCACCCCTAGTTAGGCTGTTGATTTTACTTTAATCTTTTGTCAAGATTGGAACATCGTGATTTCAACTTTAAGATCAATAAAAAATTGAATTTGTGAATTAGTTGACAATTTTTATAATTAATATAATATATAACTTTTTCCTTTAACCCTCTCAATTTCATTTCCTCGTATCACTTGGGTGTTTCAGTTACTTAATTGAAACGATGAATGTGAGTGAATTAAAAGACATATCTGTCATTGAGAGTTATTTCAAATACTGGGAAAAAAATCAAGTTTAATAATATATTCGACGATTGTTTCCACTATAGGCTGCCATCAATTCATTAATTTTAAAGCATTAGCCAACTGTTTTGTCCTAATTTAAAACACTATCAATGAGTTATCTAAACCACATTTAATTTACGTAAGAACTTTCACATTTCGTCTTTCATCTGACACATTTAACCTAAAATACTTGATTTCATTCTTTCGTTCCCAACATCAGTCTATCATAGTGTTTATCTATTGCCATCGATAGGTAACCTATTCACTCTCAACATGGTTGACTCGGTACGTTATCCTTTTTTTTCAAAATGAAGTAATCCTCTTACTACCCGAATACCCAGTCAAAATATCTGCACCGATTATCGACCTTTTTCAAATTGCATGCCGTGTTAATTAATCAACGTATTATAATCTGATGTCAGATTGCAATACACTTTGTTCTTGGACACTTTATCGAATGAATTGAGACGTTTATTATTTACTATTCAGGCAATTCAGATTGATAATGAATTAGGATTTTTTGTGTATGTACGTACTAATACCCATATAACTAATTAATTATAATTCCCAATTTAAAAAGTTTACCTAGTTTATGTTTATTCCAGTAGCTAATAGAGTCATCATTAGATCCACTTATTAACAGTTTCATATTGAGGTCTTGACCTTAAAAGAAAAATAAAATTTTTCAGATGCATCAAAAACACTTTATGAAGTGATAGACAAACATAATAATTTACATAAGGTTTTGTTCGGATACCATCTCTTTTAAATCGAATTTTGACTGAACACAAAACTACTACTGAATGAACTCAGACCAGAGAGAATAAGTTTTCTAAAAAGGAAGTATTTTATGTACTGAAACTGTTATATTTACTAGTACACGTTATACATCATTCTTACCTTCACTAGAATTCATGTGACTATTGGGAATATATACATTTTTGAAATAATATAATTGATTGAATGAAGCTTGATATTTTCGCTCATCTTTATAAAAAAAATGTCTCATATTATAAAGCATTATCAATGATAGTTTATTTCCATACCAATAGTTTTTAGTCTATTTTAGTACTGTTTCTTTATGTTAAACGTATCTTTTTTGTAGAGCACCTGTTCAAAAGTGTTATCATCATCACCACCTAATCCATTACCAACTGGTTCAAAGCCAATTCCACATACATTTCTAAAAGAGATCATGGTTGAATTAAATGAAGATTTTTGGAAATTTCAACTATTCGACGTTATATTGGAGAGAGTAAGTAGAAAGAATATACTTTTTTGTGATGAAAAGCATCTACAGACTTTTTTGTTGTGTTTATCGAAGACGAAAGAAATATAAATATTTTGATAATTATCTTATATTGTCCTAATAATTATATTTGGCTAAAATCGTTTCACACAGTGTTTCGTCTTTATTTGGTTTATTGTAGTGTAGAGATGCTAGCCATATTAGAGATATTCAGAAATATAATTATTCTACTCATTGGGATATAACAAAAAGATATATTTATTACTAACCTTCTACCCAATCTTCAATTTATTTGAAAATATTAAGTTCAACTTTGGCATCGATACCGGCTTAATAGTTGAAGGTTGATTACCTTTACCACAGAACCACATCACATTTCATTTGAATTAATGTAGTAACAACGTCATATGCACTGTTAAGAAAATAGATATGATAATAGGTATTAATCTCTTCATTAAAGTTACTTTGTCCCGAATAATCCTGTGCATCATAGTCCCATTAAGTGTAATGTGTGAATGTACAAATAGGACTAAGAACATATATTTTAAGTATTGATCTTGTTTTTACTCTTGATATTATTTTGATAAATCGACTAACTCGTGTGATTGAGGCTAATAAATGTGATGGTCTAATCGCACTACCCATAATAGAGCATTTTCAGCACATGGTTGGTTGTGATTTTCAATCTGTTTTCATCATGTTTATTCTGAATTCTCACGAATATTGCTTTATATGATGATAAATATTGTTATTGATAATGAATTCATTCACTGTTATATCTTTAGTACAATATTAAAAAAATTGATTTAATGCTTGAATCGGTTTCCTAAGCTCTTCTAATAACTCCAGGCTAAATCTACACAACAACTTGAACACAAAAGATAAGGAGTGGAATATGGAAATAACGCTTTACTCCAAGGTTCGTTCATGCACAGAAAGCTGAGAGTATTTATAACATTTCATGTGGATTTGGGCTTCTGGAACCTTACTAAACATATAGCTAGATGTTTCTGAGAAACTTCTATTCAATACTGAATGGATAAAATGTTTCCCAGCGTTTCTGGGCGATTCCGAGGAATATTTTTGATCTCTTCAACAAATATAGAATTTTCGGTGTAAAAAGTAGCACTTTTCGAGTAACATGCTTAATTATTGTAGGATTAAAAGTCCTCTATACCCTTTAACTGCGTCGACGTTTTGTCTCAAAATCCGTACTGAAACAAACCTTGATATTTCGAAAACCGGTTTGAGTACCAGCTCATTTTTTTTGTTTTCAAACAACTTTTTATTACGTTCCTATGTCCTGTTCGTGAACTTGCACATAACTACTAAAAACATCAATTGTTTATCTGTTACTGCACTATACAAATCATAAACAGTATGCCTTTTCATTTTATTTTTGTTCTCATTTGGTTTCCTAGTTAATTTTACTAATAGATTTATCCAACTAGAAAACGCGTTTGTTCATTTTCTTTAGATTAAATAGTGTTACATAAAATATGAATAGTATGATTATATTAATTAGTAAAACTGTAATGACTGAGGTCCTACTGTTAATACTAGAATCGAGGATCCACTACGATTTCCACTACGCTAACTAGTGGTAATAGAAATCTTTTCGGCTCTTCAAACACGTCGCCGTTAATTTAAAATTCACTCATTTATATGGAACTTTACACATCTTAGTTAATAAATATTACGTATGGCAAATAAACAGATGTTACTACAAAAATACTCAAAGTACACATCTGAATAAGTGTTACTTGAAAAATGCCACCGGCATCATGCCGAACAAAATATTAACATTAGAAAAAACGTGATCTGACCTTTATCCCATGTTATCGAAAATAAACTCGCTAAGCATGACTTTTAGAAATGATTATTGTTGTAGTAATCAGATGGTAAAGCTACCACTCAAATCATTTGGAGCGTCTTACATTTTTTAAAAGAAAACTGCGGAGTAGTGACCGTGTAAATGAATGAAAGGACTTCTTGTTAATGTATTATCTGTATCACGCGAATAGATAAGTTTATCTTTTTTTTGTCCAATCTATGTTACTTATAAATGATAAATATCTTATTATACACCTCCACTCTCACACTGTCCTATTAAAATCGAAGCGAATTGTATTTTTCTTCACGTGATCATTGAGAATAATCCAAGTTGATTATCTGTAGCACAATATTTCTTTGTGTTTAAATGTTGAATAGTTGTAGATTATCTTTAGGAGTATACTCACCGAATCCTGAGTATCCAGATGCGTTAAGGGAGTATCGATCCTTTTGTGTTAAATCCTCAATATTCAACTGTTGATTTATTTCAACCTTCTTTTTTTTTCATAGGGTTCAGATGGTTTCGGTATTTTCATCGTTAATTTGAGTCCAAACAATGAACCTGGTGTATTCGTCAGCGAAATCCGTCCAAACAGCCCAGCACAACTAGTAAGTGGATCTCACAGTATGTAATTCAGTGCTTCTGAATCATATTTTCATTACTTTTATACTAATTACTTCTAAGTATTAATGGCGGGAGAACTGGAGTAACAAAATTGTATGACTATAATAGTGTACTGTTCTTGATAGGCCCAAAAATTTATGGGGACACTGTGATTAGTTTAGGGTTAACTAACTATTAAAGTTATACGCAAACATAAAATTATTCCGTTATTTAGATATGTTTTTAAAATTGCTAGGAAATGAAAGTGCGAATAACATTCAGTACTATATTTTGTAATAAAATATGTAAATCAGTGTTGGACTAAAGTTCATCTAATTTTCTAAAATTTCCTTCAATTAGATGATCGTAAATAGCTTTGGAATCTGCAATAAACGTACATTGGCTCAGTTTCTCACCTTTTGCACCAACACAGTTATAAGGAGAGCAGATTTTCAATATATGAGCACTAATATATGTGGTAGTGTAAAAATAAAGATGTAAATGAGTACAGGTTGTCCATTTTATCTATTTTATTTTATTTTTATTTCAACACATAAATATTGGTACAAGAGGACACCAATTATATATGATAAGTGATCTCTGGGGATCTAGCAGCCCCAATAGAACCTCAACTGTCTAAGGACGCTGCTCAGTCCATCACTTTATGTGCTGATTTCATGTCTTGATCTGGATTGTTTATAGGTTTCCTTTATTTTTTGAATGTAATGCTTATAAATGTTTCTTGGATGTCGTAAAATACATTCTTCATCGATTATTTTTTTGCAGCAAGGAGTTCTTAGACCTCATGATCGTATACTAGCTATTGATGGTCAACTTCAATGTGATTATGAAAGTACATTGGAATTGTTGCAAAAATCAAGAAAATCTGTACGCCTAACCATCGGTAGGCAAATACCTTGTCACAGTGACTCACAACAAATGCTACAATTTGGATATGTAACTACAACAGGGGATAATCCAGACAATGATATAAAGCATCAAAAATTATCTATTATACCTGGGATTCCTGCTACAGTTACTCTGTACAAGACTGACGGAGGTCTCGGATTCTCGATTGTCGGTGGAAGTGACACAGTTTTGGTATGTGCTATTTGGTTAAATATAAATGATGATTATTTCAACTCTTTCTGAAGTTTAATTACATCATTGTCATTTTTCTTCAATTCATAGCTAACTGATTTCAATTCTTACCTTTCTTTATTACCATTAATCTAGTTTCAGTTGCTTGATTGCACTATCATCTAATGTTTGTTAACTGCATGAGCTCTAATCATTATTTCAATGTTCTGGAACTTTCCTTCCCAGAGTTTATTCATCCGAAACAAAAGGACTTTTATGACCTTATTAACTCTATTAAAATCTTCGCTACATCATGATACATATATTCATCTTTAATCACCCTCGTATTTATAAGTATATATATAGTATAATAACTTTGATTTTGAAATAATATAGGTTGTAAGCAGCTGATGAGAACCTAACGAAATAAAATGAATTCATATTATTCTGGACCAATCTTTGTTCTTGCTCAGTCCTATTTATTGATTTTACGTATATAATATGATATGCTTGATTATATGGAAATAATTACCCTTTTTCTACTCTTTACTTGATGTTAACTTGCTACAATTTCACATCATGTGGGATATGAGCTAGATTTGTAGTTTACATGATTGACTGATTTTACTTAGACGAACATTGAACTATGGGGAACATTGAGGAGCTGTTTCATCTTAGCATATAGCTCCTTAAGAGTTTTTGTGCACAACTCAAATTAAGATCGAACACGGAACTACTAGGCCTCGTCGTGAGGGTGTCTCCGTAATATGAACTGCGTACCGAACGATCGTACTAAGTTTCCTATCGAAAGATAGTCTTTCACATACATAATTCGTCTAAGCATATTAGATTAACTACCAGTGAATCACTGCTCCTTTTTATTTGTTTCGTTAAAGAGTAACATTTTGGTCCATGAAGTACACTCTGGTGGAGCTGCTGCACGTGATGGTCGGCTTCAAGTTGGTGACCGCTTATTAGCTGTCAATGGGATCGATCTTCGTGAAGCTACCCAAAAAGATGCCACAAAGGTATTTTGTTTTGTTCTCATGACTTCTTTTTACCAGTGATTCCTGCTAGGAATTCCACACATTGTCTCCGTAAAATTTAACTTCCAATTTTAGTCCTGTTTAACTTTTCATCTATGTTTACTTCAATTACCAGATTATCCGAACAGCTGATGACTGTATCCAATTGGTTGTGTACAGAGATCCTGAACCACAATATATAAATCAAGGTGTATTCGAATGTCATAATGTTCACTTGAAACGTGATATGCCTGGACAAAGTTTTGGTCTGTCATTGATTGGTCGACCTCATTATTCGACTGGTACAGCTATTGGAGGCATTGTAAGTATATATATATCAATTATTATTCAATTGTTATTATTACCTATATATTTTTCGTCTTTTCTTTATATCTATCATGTGGACGATTATTTCCTAAATGTATGTTCCTTAAATTATTTCCATCTTCCTACGTTTCTTCAACTTCGAGATTTTTACGCAACCTTTTGGTACTTGAAATCTCTGAGGTCTTTATAATTTGGTTTCTTTATATTCTTGTTTAGACTTATATATTGATTGAGCCACCATAAATACGATTGTACAAATTTAGTAAATGATATCGTTGAAGAGAACATTTTCTCTGGATTTCCTTCTGTATTCAGTAAATTAGTGGGTTTCTTCCGTTATTTTTCCGATATTTGGTAAAACTGAATGTTCTTAAAATTTCATAGTACTCAAGTAGCTGCGTCTCACAGTAGTTAGTTAACTTACTATAGATCAAAGCTGACCATGAGTTTGTGGTCAGCCTCGTATATTTGTGATTGGTAGTTTCTCCCAAAATAGTGTTCCTATGATCATCATTAATTCAAACTTTATTCAATATAAAATAACAATCATTTGAATGTGCATGGAGTGTAGAACTTTGTTTTTTTTGTTAACTTTACTCAGTTAATTCCCCACCATTCAATTTATCGCCTACCTTATATTCACAATGATTCATAGAAGATTTCGATTACTTCAATTCTTTATTTTACAACGTTTAATTTTATTGGTCAACAGAGTGATTTGGGTCAATTTGTGATTCGTGTTGAATTTCATGTACGTTTCAGCTATTTCCCATCGAAATATAGCTATGATATCTCACACATTTCTCTGTTGGATGGTTTGTTTTCTCCTTTACTGTAACCAGGTAGAGAATAGTCCAGCTGCTCGTTCAAATCTTTTGGAAGTTGGTGATATAATTTTAGAAATTAATGGTTGGGATATGCGTTTGGCTAAATCAGATGAAGTAGTCAATTTATTAAAGGTTAGTTAGTGTTGTTTTCTTAGTGAATGTAGGTTCTAGATTGTAGGTTAAGTAGATGTACAACAATATAAATTTAGTTACAAGCATACTACTTATTATAAAAATGTTTAAATTTCTTGTCCTAGATTTAATGTCTGTGGGTGTTTTGACAATATGTCGATTGCTTCAAAAGTTTGAACTTTTGCTCGCCTACTCATAAGTGTGTGATAACATGGAACTACTCAGTCATATACCTTCGGGCGAATAATCAAATGTGATTGAGAGCCAGAACTTATTGAATAAGACAAAAAGCTATCTAATATACCGCATATGTCATTTTTGTACGCTTTATTTGTAGTGAATATTCAACAATTATTCTTTCCAAGACCATTAGAATTACAAATAACAGATAAATTACCATAGCATATTTTTTAATTAGTGACAGTTAATCTACTATTATATATATATATATATATATATATATATATATATTTATGCAAGACATTAGTTTTAATTAAATTTTAGTTTTATAAAATATGAATTACAGTTTCCAATTAAAGTTTGAAATCTTGATATTCTATTTATCATTACATAAACCAATGGATTATATTCATTCATGATTACGTGTTTATTTTTTTTTTTTTTTTTGCATATAGAATGCACATAGCGACGTGAAATTATTGATTGGACGTTACAAAACTGGGCCATCAATGCATGGTATGTTCATATAATACACTTGTGTTTTGTTTTGTTCGTAAATTTAAACTTATTTGTAAACAAACCTCCACCTTTTGTACTTTTTTAGACGTGATCGGTAATCAATAAATTATAAAGTTCATTAACTATGCTGATATTGTCATAATGGTTAAAAAAAATGAATAATAAAGTTTTTGTAATGACAATTTGGAAGACAAATTCACTCACTGAGTGGTTGAATGTGTATTAATAATGAATATAAATTATCCCTCATATACAAAAATATTCAACTGACGTTAATATAACTTTATAGATGATCATTAAGTAATTATGAATAGAAATGAAAGCTATATGATTATTCTTCCTCTAGACGTCATTTCATTTCTAAAGTTGATGGTTGTGAAAGCATTATTGTAAAGGTTAGGAATTGTAATCCTTACACCTTCAACCAATTGTATGCTTCCGTTTAAGCTCGAGTTATCTGGATCGTTGGTTGATTTTTTTAAAACACTTTCATGAATGATGAACATCGTTTTGCCTTACGGTTTTAAATATTTTTGTAATTTTGTTATTGATGATACAGAAAGATGAATTTATGAAGTTGGAAAGTAAAGAAGCGAAATTACTAAGAATTATGGTTGTGGAAAGCTATATATTATAACTTAAGAATACTTCTGTTCCCCTACAAATGATTATTAAACATGTTACCTGATGATTACCACACACGTACCAATCAAGAAGCTCTCGCTTCCCAGCACTGTTAGTTTAACGGTGAATAACTTGATTATCTGACAACACTCGCTAGCCTTTTTCTAACCTGTGACTTTACTAGTAAACACCAAAGTTCACTACGTCTCACCCTTATCTGAATAATTATTTCGCTTTTTATCATAATTGTCTACTGCTAGCAAACATAAATTGTTTTATCCCCTCTCTTCTTTTATTTATTTTTTTCTCGAACTGCTGTGTCGAAATTATTATTTTCGTTGTTTTCGGTATTGTTGTTGTTTGTGATGATAACGACTACGTATTGCATATAATCTTCATATTTATCTTGCTTCATTTCGTTATCCCTTTGATCGGACCTTTGTGTTCATTCTTTTTGCACCATACTATCCAATGCATCTGTTTGCATATTTTATTCTATGAAATGCATTGTTGTTGTTCTCGTTACTATCATTCAATTTAATGTTTTTTTTCTCTCCGTATGTGTTCCTCATTGTCATTTATTATCGCTATATGTAGGCCGTTAGTTTTAGCTTATTTGTCTGCCTGCCTACTTATCCAGTCCCCACTTATTTCATTGTATATAGTTAATCATTTGATGTGAAATAATCTTTACAAAAAACAAATGGACATATGCCTCACAGAAGCAAGTGGAGAATCGAATGAATGGTTAACATAATAGGAGGAATGAAAATGATGAAAACTACATAAGTTTTTTTACAACTGAACCACATAATCTAAATCAAAAACGACAGTTATATACACAAAATATTCAAATAGTGCGATTGACTTTGTTTTTCTGCGCATGTAGTACGAAATTTTATTTTTACAGTTAACATTTATGCCTCACTCATTTGCTCATAATGAAGTGTTCCCTCTTATTTCATGTGTTATATTTGTTATTTTATAAAATTTATTGTGGACGATTTATTTTAACTCCTTTCTCAAGGTTTCTTTAACTTTCCTGATCTCTCTTATGTAAACACAAGTATTATTACCAACTTATCTAAAAAATTTAACTGATATGTGATGCAATAATGTACAAATGTTTCTATATGACTGCACCGGAAATCTTTTTCTCCTGTTCTTTTAATCACTTATACTTTAATATAATTCCTAAACTATGTACTGATTCACGTATGTATATACATGTATTACTAAATAGTTTTGCTGGCGTGTATTTGTTTGGAATTTCCGAATTGATATTTAGACGTTTGTGTTACGGTAGATATGAGTCATCCTATTGTTTAGAGCATGTGTGAATGCGTTTATCACTCGTTGTTTTTAAAATCTCGTTATAATACCGTTGTATTTGCATCCTGTATACGATGATCCCATAACGAGAAATATGAGTATATTCGTATATCTGCATTTTATCTCATAGCTTATCCTCGAAATCGATTAAATGTCTATGTGGTTGTACTTGAACGTCGTCAATTTGGCTTTTGTAATGATCGTCCTCAGGTGGGAAAACCTTATTCTAATGATCCTGATATCCTTGTTGATTCTGTCTGTCAAAAAACTGATGAAAATGAATTACACGATTTAAAATCATCAACCAACTGTATTACCGTAAACAGCGATCAGAAGATTAGTGGTGATGACGGTAATAATAACAATGATGAAATTGCTTCAGCTGCATTTGGTTTGCGTATTCGTTATGCGAGTTCACAAGAATTATGGGACTCACACATTCGACTAATCGTAGATAGTATTCAACATGACAGTCCAGCAGATCGATTAGGAATGATAATGGTAAGTAGTCGTTTCTTGCTTCTCTTCTGTTTTACTAATGTACATTAAAACTAGGATGGTTAAAAAATGCTCTGTTTTAAATAATTTTGATGATATTAATCGCTTTATTCAATATCATATATTTGACTGCAGTAAATCTTCCAGAGAAGTTTGAGCATGCCGACACTGTCGTTCGTTAAAACTGTACAATTGTATTCATAGTTATTTTTTGAGATATACATTGTCGAATAAATAGGTATTGCATCATAAAGAAACCGTTGGATAATTCAAAGTATCAAACTGCTATTGTTTAACAGTCCTTACTTTCCTATTCAACTAACAGTACAACTTCACCTCTGAACTGTCAATGGACTGTGAATTGTTTACATAGTAACAGTAATTACTTTTAGTTTAATAGTGTTATAATTTTTTCTGATTACAACCCAGCTCTTCCTATTGCTTAGTATTCTTGGACATCAATTCACTCGACAAGTCCCCAAATCAGAACACGATTGAACAGGAAGGAAATTATATTTCAAATAACAAGGGTAGATGGAAGTAAGAAGCACAATAAGAAAAAAACGTTAGTATATTTATAGTTTTTACATGAGAAGATTCTAGAGTGTTCTTCAACTGTCGATTGGCGCTGATTGGATACGAATTAGCCAGTTAGCGTGCACCGACACAATCATGCACGGAACATGTTTTAATATATGTTCCGCTAACAAACAGAAGAAGTAAATATTCTAATCAACTTATTACGACTGAGTCAGCATCATAAGGAAACTCAGGTATATATCTCGTTATTATCTGAGACAAGCAAATAGTGTTATTATCAATTAGATTTCTGTTTTGTTTTTATAAATCTAATAATTTTAATATTGGGAATTCTAATCATACTCATATTGATAGAAATAGTGACAATTTGAGTATGTTGAAATAAATGGTAAAGCAAAGAGATATTTCATCTTGAAGGAATTAACGAAAATATCCCAATTTTATAGATACTTCCTGCCACGAAAACATTTTATTCCATACCGTGGAGTTTCCAAATGTTTATTAATCTTTTCTTTTGCTTATCTAGCCGGGTGATCGCCTGTTAAGTATAGATCGTGAACCGGTAGATTGGCTGAACCCAACCGAAGTGGTCCAGCTATTAGCTAATCTACTGTATTGTACAATTGAATTAGGTCGTTTACCGTATTTCAACGCACCATTATCTGCTAACAATAATGCTATATCAGATAAGTGCTTTAAGCCTTCTCCACCACCGGTCACTTCTTCATTATCTCCATCTCATAGAATTCAACAAGATGAACATGATATGTTCCCACCTTATCCACCTCCGTCACTAGAACTACCGACATTATTTGGTGGTATTATGCCATGTATTGAAACACCAAGCTTTGTAAGAGATATGTGCACTTTGCCTGAACTACAAGATGAAGATGATGAAAGTAAAAATAATAAAATTAGATTTGGACATCGTGAGAATGATAATCATTATCGGTTACCTGAATCTACTTATTGTGCAATTAATTCAAGCAATCAACAAGACCAAATTGATTCAATGTTGAATATGACACCTTTAAATGAAGAAGAAATTGAAAAGGCTTTAGAATTAGCTGGAAGAGGCAGTGGAGGATTTTTTGTACGACAGATTTATTTACCAGCTGCACCAGTTAATACTAACAATAACACCAATTCTAGTCATATATCAAATATTCATTTAGGTTTACGTTTAGTTAGTGGCCCGGGTGTTAGTGGACCAGTTGTTGTTCGTATTGAGCCAAATTCATGTGCTTCTAGAACCGATATTCAGATTGGTGATCGTATTCTGGGTCTAGATGATAAACTGTTACTTTCTTTACGTCAAGATAATCATTCTGCTGATGATATACTATGTACAATTGAAAATGATTGGATTACACGTTCAATAAATTCTCAGTTGACTTACGAACAAAATCCCTGTTGTTTAACAATTATTAGTTATCATAGTTTACCATTGTTCAGTTCATTTGGTAAACAAGAAAGTGATGCTAAAATTGAAGAAAAGAATTCAAATAAAAACCTAGAAAATAATGCACAACTTACTATATCTTTAACAAATTTACATCTAACCAATGGTAATACTTCTAATTGTCAACATAGCATCAGTAGTATTGATATGGGAAATCCGAAAAATCACGTGGTATCTGATACTACTACTCCTTTACCATTCGAATCCAAATCACCCAGTAAGTTCTATTTCAGTATTTTATTTTAATGATTTTGTTCGTTGAAAAATTTGAGTTTTAAATGACGGAGAAAGTTTCAAGCTTAGATAAATGCTTTTGGTGGCGTCCAATTCTCTAATGTAGATTGTTTGATTGAAAAGTTTTCATTGCCATTCCCAACATCATCAGCACTTACCTTATATAGAAGTAAGCTATTCCACGAACTTGAGTTTGTTTTCGTGACCCTATGGTCAAAGCCTTCAGTATACGTTTATCTTCTAATTTCATAAACTGTTTTACAGTTATACAGTAATGGAAAGCCAATTGGACTTGTGTTAGCATACAGATATCTTTAACGCACGTCGGCAAAGACCAACTGAGCCTTCTGAATCTGTGCACAGATTTCGCCAGACGTCAGTCCATCATGGTTAATGAAACTTCCAAGATGAGTGAATTGATCAACATACTTAGCTACTTTACTCACTATCATTAGGTTGTGTTAATACAAACCAATCTATAATTCCGAGGGAAAGAAACTCATTCTGACACGAACATACATTCATTGTTGCTCAAGGCGATCAGAAATCTCCATTTCGACATATCTATGGTCCATTTGTGGACCTGATAGACTATCAGCCTTGGGAAAATTTGTTGGTGTGTTATTTCTATGTCATTTATTACTAATTTAAATGAAAAAGGGGGTAGTGAGCAACCTTAGTAAACACCACTTAATGTTGGCAATTCTGATTAAGATTTACCTTTGACTCAACCGATGATGTTCGAGTAGGGAACTTGCACATTAATCTACTCTTCATCTTGATACAGACTTTAGTCTTTTTAAGAGTTGTTCTTCTCTTTGCTGTTGACGCTGATTTTGTTACTCCTTCACTCTTGTTGATTTCTTGCTACAGTATGATGATCTACGACGTGTAATATTTCGGACATTGAGACTGTTCTAATTTAATTTTCTCTGTTTGTCAGCAATGCTTGCATCTGCAAGCTTATACACAAATCTCTTTGATTTTTAGCTACTGCCAAACTAGGTAAAAATTGTGCTTCCAGATATGCAGATAACATTCAAAGCAATAAACAACAAGTGGTTATGTAATTTTCAGATTTGAATCTTTCCGATCGACTAACGCTACTTGGTGTCTTTTGAAAGTATTGATGAGACGTAATTGAAACATATAATGCAAGTTGTTGCTTCTTAATTTTTCCGACTGCTCAAGTATACTGAATCTTCATTTTCTGCATCTTATTAATATATGGTGGGTCATTAGACTCATTGGTCGAAAATTCGTGTACTTTCAATGACTTTGGTCAATTGTAGGGTTAGTATATGTGAGAGTTATATAATGAAATGTATTTTATTGTAATGATTGTCACCTACCTTCTGTGTATCGATTGTATTGAGTCAAAATATACTGGGTCATTCACAAAAAATGTTTTCGTTCTTACTTGTTTGACCCGCCTTACCCGCATTTTATCAATTATGTATTTAGTAATGGATTATAAATTATTACAATTTAAGAGACTGACAAAATACAACTTCATTTTTGTGTATCTGATTCATGGCACCCGATTTTTCATTACGTTGTTGAAAATGAGAAATCAAGTTTATGAATTTTGAATGACCGGGCTTCTTTTTAAACGTATTTAGCTTTAAGTCATGTACAAGAATATGCATTTGGGTTCTCAATAACGCTATATTAAGAAAATTTCAATCACAAGTTATCCTCGACCACTATTAGTTCTTTTATTGACTTTATATAATCTACACATATGCTTCTAGATTATAGTTTATCGCACGTGGAAATTAGTCATTTATTATGTGAACCTTATTTTCACATGTTATGATTTATTTTCTGCTTTTCGATGCTTTAATTTTATTCATTCAAAAGTAGTGAGTAAATTCCAACAAAATGGAGGAGTTGGGCACCCTCATTCAGATGAGGAGCTACATCCAAATTCACCATCATTACATAATCACCGCTATGAATTGTCTCTTGAACCAAGCGATGATGTCATACATCGCTTACCGAATAAAAATCTGTTTGTAGATGATGCGATCCACGTGATATGCGAAAATGCTAGTACTACTACCAACAAAAATAATGGACAACATTCATCATGTGTTGAATCGGTATCATCACTTTCAACACCGCCACCTGACGATGATGGCGTTATGTGCAATCGTCCATTGATGAATATAAATCGTAAATTTTCTATTCAGAATAATCAACATGTCTATAATAACAATGGGATTATGAATAACAAAGGTTAGTTAGTATTTTAAACACAGATATAACCTTTTTTAATTATGGATAATACCGATTATTAGCAATATGCACTAATATAACAATCGAAATGTAAATATAGAAGTAGTACTGAAAAGTAATGAACATTGGTTACCATTACTACTATTTCCACCATACAAAGACGACTAAACTGCAAGTTGGTTCCCAATAAGATCTTTTTGTATTGACATTATGATTTATTACTGAAAGGATTCATCAACTGTGAAAAGAAAGAACGTTGTCTACATACATTTATACGAGCTTATACGGTTATTTTTAGTTGATGAATTGAATGTAGATGGTCTGGTACTTCGATGTTAACATTTCTAATCGATTGCACAACTACATCTAGTTGGTAAATTCCATTGAATGATTAGCCTGTAAAATAGCAAGTGTATTACTTAGTGATTTTTAAAATATCAAATAAATCATAATAATACCTCTTAAAAAGTCGAATTGTCAATAAAACTAAATGAACTACCCGTTAGTTACTGGTCTGCTTATGAGGACTTATTTTATAGACACGAGTTCGACTTCGTCCATAAATATCGACCATCATTTGTCAGAATCAGTATATATATTTATATCCTCTTGTTTTACAGCATGCCTTTAACACCGACAATAACAACAGAAGTAAATATACAATGATATATCTAAACAAACAGGCTCGTATAAATATAAATAAAATGAATACAATGATTTGTGTTTGGTTTTCTCCTTTTCTTATGTAATATTTTATTCTAAACACTTGGTTTGTTTATTTCAAATTGTTAATATCCTGATTTATTTTTTTGATTGAGATTTGTGTTAAGAATAATTCTGTTATTACCCTCTCTCTGCGTAATTTTTTTCTGAATAAAAAATCATCAATTATTATTTGTAAAATGAAAAATATTCCCTTTTATCATCAATTATCCTCTATCAAAAAATCACACAGACAGTTCAGCCAACTAGTAGTAACTGTCGTTGGTGCAGTTGGGACTAGGAATTTCAAAACGCTTGATCCACTCTGTAATTCGATTGCGAAGTGCAAGTTGCTCGTTTCTGAAAAATATTAAAATTATTAGCTTCCTTCATTTTTTTCAACTACACCTTGTGTCTATCATAATTAAAAGGATTTCAATGTTGCATACTTCCCTTTTTCCGAATGTGAAATTCTTTACCTAATTTGATTATTTTTACGAATCTGGAAAGTAATTTCTTACATGAAATCAACATATAATTGTGAATATATGGATATTTTTGATTCAGTATATATAAACAAATAAAATGAGCACTGTCATCAAATACAGTTATCGTGCAACCTTTCAAATATTATTGTCTATGTGGAGGTGATCGGTTAACGTTTAAGCTGTTTAGCTTTCACACAAACAGTATAACTCAAAGCCTATTATACAAACCCATAATTCGGTAAGCGAATCTAATGAGAATGATACGGACCAACTAGTATGGATAATTAGTATTTCAATGGTCACCAAGCGGGGTCCTATCGCATACTTTTCATGAATATTTATGATATATATTGCCGCGACTTGAGTCAACAATGAGCTCACGATTGTGCAGTTTATCATAGACTGGTCTCAGTCAAAGAACTTTTAAAGCGAATGCTTTAGATTTTTCGAACTGCTTCAGCACTCCTTAGAAGTATGCACTGGCGATCTATGGCGTTTTGCCTAAGATCGGTAGCTGGTACGAACCATCCATCGGCTCATAATCTGACTGCATCCAATTCATTGTACAGCGCAACCTACTGGCGTTATATTTGGGTAACTGTTTCTTATCGAATTCTTTAACACTAGCTTCCAAAGAGCTTCGGGATATCCAATTTAGAGTAAGCAACATTAAAAACAAGTTACACTACTTGTTTAACTACTATTGAGATCCACGATTTAAGTGTTATTCTAGACATTACGAACAGTTCTCCACGTAGGATTGCAGACACGGTTTATATCTCATGATCTTGATGCTACACTAAAGAGCCTCGGACAACCGAGATGTTTTTTACCGGTTCCAGTACAAAGACAATCTTACTTCTTCATTTAACTACAAGGAAGTTGCAATGGTACACTAGAATCAATTATTTAGACAGTGAAAAGTCTGCTATTCATTAATTTTTATGAGGATTGATGATCGAGGCAGGTTTTCACACTTACGTACTGAAAAAGCAACGAATATTTTGTACAATTTTGTGACATTTTAAAGGTGGATTGGTTTATTCAAGTTCAGATGGCAATGATTTGATTAGTTTAAGCATTCGAAATATTTCACGAGATCAAACTTAACTCGAAATATGAAGAGAAAAAGAAAACACCCAGAAGAAAGACATTGTAATCACTACTAATATAATGAGCAAAGTTGTCACAGTTATAAAAAGATTCCTTTTTAGCACAAGAAAGAAAGAAGACAGAAAAGATATGTCCTTGTTAGTCGACCAAACGAACATATATTCCTATTAAAATACAAAGATGTTTGTCAATATTTAGTTTTATCGAGCAAGCATTACATTCTTCAATAAACGAAATTATTACGGATTCATGGGTTTTATCGTAAGAATTGATTTGGAAAATCCTCTTTAGTCTGGACAAAATCGAGGATGGTCAACAAAATCATCACCGTAGGCAAATATTGCTAAAGCAGAAAGAACTGAAGCTCCACCCCAGAATAGTACGTAAGTTGCTTTCTCTGTCCAATGAGCTGAAAATAGATATAAACCAAATAAGGAACTATAGGATGGATTTTTTTTCGAAAATTTTGTACGAAATACAACCTTTACAGAATTAACATTGTTTCGGGTTAGATAGTCCATCACAGGCAATACAAGACCTGAAGTAAGTATGCATAGGTTTACGTTGCCATACCTCATATATGTACACAAAGAAAGCTGAAATTAACCAACTCATTAGGGCTATTGTTAACTGCAGTGAGGAGCTAAACATGTTATTTAAATACATGTTTTAATAATTGACAAAAGTTAAAAAAACTGTAAACTATTTAAACAAATTGGTTTTTAACTATCCCATCTAATATTCACAATATCTCACGCCGCTTACAATAATTCAGACTCAATGTAACACCTCTGCTTTTAAATACACCGATGATTCTTAAGATTATTTCAATAACCATATGAAATTGTAAACCTAAGAACATCTACAGAGTGTGAACAGCTAGAAGTGCTGTGAAATATTATCAACCTGTAGTTCAACAGATGAGGGTGCCCAGTCATCGCCATAACTGCACTGATGTAAACCTTGGATAAAACGGGATGTAGGGAGTAATAAAGTTTCTTTTCAAGTATGGAATTTATCAGCCGGAAGTTACTATTTATTAAAAGGTCATTGTTACCACAGAGATTTGAACACAGTATTGATTAAGCAAGGAAACCAGGTCACATTATATCTTAAGGCTGAATGATAAGTCAAATACAATGACTCATAATGAGTAAGGGCATTATTCACCTGGCCACGGTCATCATTCGTACGTCTATCTCATGGTCAACCTATCTACCTACATACTGTAAGACAATTCATCTGGTATTAACTTACTATGGTCAGTGCATGAGAAATTGAACTTTACTGTTGAAAATAACTAGTGCAGAAAAATCTTAAAAGTTGATTTTGTAATTACTCAACTATACAGTTCTGTTATTGTTATGTCACTGTATGGATAGCATGTAATGTAGTGTGAAATTCCAACCAGTTACACAGCAAAATTAGGCGAGATTGTAATTTACGGATGGACCAATCAGGTTTAAGACACCAGATCTTGGATTTTGGCGCGAAATTCACTCGTCCATATGGCTAAATAGCATCTTGACATTATATATGATTCCAGTTCGTGATGAAGACTAATCCTAACGCCCAACTGCGAATCCTAATTCCTCACATCAATTCACAACCCTCATTAAACTCAAGTAGGTGGACACTATCAACGTTACTTAAGCATCGCTCAAAGGTCGTCCGTAAATCATAGTTTAACCCAACATTATTATAATTATCAAATACAGAGTATGTTAAACGCCTACCTGTAGGAAAGATACAACACAATACAGACATAGCTAAGGTAAAACTAAATACTAGTGGTAGAAACTGTGTAAACCATTCAGAATCAGAATTTTTTAGGCGACGTCTAGGAGGTCCACCTGGTCCATGTAATGGCTTAAGATTCCCATTAACATCCATTACTTTATATTGGCCAAGAAGTAAATGCATTGAATCTTGACGGAAGCCATCGTTGAAATTATTCAAATAATAACGAATTATTGAATAATAACCATCCATCAGTATACCATATAATGTTCTTTTACCTATTTTTTTAATAAAGAAAAAAATCTTAAATAGCGAATAAATTTTATGGATATTGATATTATGTGACTGGAGACAAATAGTAGCTAGTCATCGACCTAGTTTTTGTGCAAAGTAGAACTTAACTACAAAAAAATATTGAGAGAACTGATAATCCTTTATAGGGTTGGAATCATGTCGCTCGGTATCACAGTCGAAAATCTTATTACTGAACTATTCACATGATCGCCTCATCCGAACTTGACTCAAATAATTCGACCAGCACTATAGACTAGCCATGAAATCAGTGACTACTAACTGACTAATTGATGTGAAGTTCAATCGCCATTTATTCTGTTGTTACATCATTTGTTTAGCTTAATATGATATAATTAAAGCAGAAGTACGAAAGGAATTTTATTTACCATAGTTACAAAACGTTCAGTTAAGTAGACTCAAACTCACAATTTTAAGGATGAGGATTACATTCTAGTACGTTGTTTAAAAACAATGACATTGCAGGTTTCATCAATTTGTAATGAAGCAATTCTTGCATAGAATTGACTCGTAAGCACCAGATAGGGTGTAGATGTCCTAGTAGTATCCTTACATTGCGCCAGCTGCCTGAACACTGACCAACAGTGATAATAATCTTTAACACTAAGTCTGTCTTTGATTTATTGGACAGGAGTATTTTCTGCAATTTTTTATTAGAGGGAAGTATTCCCAGAAGCTTACTAGCATCTTGGAAAGAGAACATGAAACGCCTAAGGTCGAATATGGGCACGGAACCACTTATAACCTTTGTTTCAAACTAGTAATTGTTAAATAGCGTTGCTCAAAGTCGCCATTTCCCTCTATATTTGCCATCAAGAATGTTTTAAAAAGAGATCTCTAAGAAATGTATTCCTTACCTAAAGTCAGAGTAATGTATTCGTATTCGGGTTATACTTGGTACAAATGTTAGGTGAGTTTAGTTAAAGTACTATGGTGCGGCTGTGAAAATCAATTTCATTGAGATGACGATGTTCAACATCTCACTCCATTTTTAATTAATAGTGGAAAGTGTGTTTTAACCACTAGACAACCGCTTCTACTGAGAAACCACTGAGTACATAGTAGCACTAAGAACAACTGTTTTGTAAGCTATAACCACTAATGGTTCTTCAACACATCAGTTAAAAATAAAAAACACTTTTAAATTACATAATTACCCATATATTACTTGAATGAACACTTACTTCAAAGTCAATATGAATTCAAAACTTGTAAGTCTTATTTGCTCTAAAACAAAATTTACCTGTTCTAGTGAAATCTGTTTTCAAGGCTGGTGTACCTGCATATTGAAGAGAACAGTAATCTGCATTGTTAGCCCAAATCGATTTAAAACGAAATCCAAAACCTGGCCACAAATGGGATAGAGGTGATGTAGTACTAGCATCGGCTGTTCGAGAAACTGTACCTTGCAATATACCAATCTCAATCATTGCTTGTTCTAATGCACACCAACTAAGCATAGATTGGATCACATTTGTTCTGTCCAAGCAATCAATACAGTTTGAACGAAATGTTCCAGTTTGACGAGTAATAATTGTTGCAGAGTTATTCATATCTATATGTAGTTGTCTAAAAAGTGGAAGTGATAAACTTAAATAGTATCGTTTCATCACTAAAATTACAAAAACCGATAGCGCTGATCTATACAGTTTTCAAAATACTCTTAGTCAACAGTCTTTCAGGCAAGATGGTCATATAACCTGAGTCTATAAAGGAACAAAACTTCAAAATAGTGACACACAAAATAACACTCGAATTCGTTACATTGGGCTAGATGCTACTTACCAATGATCAAATGTCCCCAATACCATTATTCTTTTTATTAATTTACCAAGGTTCGATTTACAAAGACGATAAGAAAAGGCTATATTTTACAAACGATGAGTACATTTTTTTTCATACGATTGGATTAAGAAAACTTAGAATTTAAAAAGAAATTTATTTACTCAACTTTAGGCTACGCCATAAGTTTGTGGGATTTTAAACTAACGTAGAACCAGGTACATATATGCATCGGTCCAATTTGCCAAACCTCATTAGCACAATGAGATGGACACTAATGTCATAGAAATAGTCACTTCAATGGTAGTAATATATAGAAAAAGGTTGCATATAAAGATGTGCAGGGAGAAAAAATTAGTTCGTAGAAAGACAAGGTAATTTTAGTTTCACGGTTTAAAGGAAGACAAAGAGTTTACACACCGACGCCATTGTGACCGACTCTGAGTCATGTCTTCCAGAGTCTCCAAACAACTATTGCGATAGCCACGCAGACCCTAATCAAGTGGCCTGAATCTACCAACATGGCTCAGACTAGAAATTAGTGACTTCATGGGTTGATGCCGCGTTTTGGTTTGGCCGCCCCTAACGTTCTTCCAACCAAACCCAACACTTGTCAGCATTGCGCGTCGTGGTAATCGGAGTTCAGGTATACGCAACACGTAGCCCAACCATCTCAGTCGACGAAGATTTACAAGCTCATCAATTGATTTACCATCATTCCCTAATACCCTGCATCCAATCTCATTATTACTTACTCGGTAATCCCCGCAGATGTGAGCAATACTTCTAAGACATCTTGTAGTGTTAGTCGAACGTATAGAGTGCAGAAATTCCCTCATCGACGTAGCTTGCTGCGTTGCGTTCGTCGTCGGCGGGCTTACCAGATCAACGGACACAATTTGTGGTCAAATACAAGTAGCCTGCGAGTATTTTCTACTCTTAATGGTCACATTTCGCAGCCGTAAAGTAGAACAAAACGAACTGTCGCTCAATAGACCCGTCCGTTAATTCATAGACAGATATCTCTTCTTCGCCATAGGTGACTTAATTTGACAAAAGCCAAACGAGCTTTTTGAATCCGTGCAGAAATTTCGTCAGACACCAACCCATTAGGGCTTCCAAGATAAGTGAAGTTGTCAACGCGTTCGACTGCTTCGCTCCCTATCTTTGGTTCAGGTGCTGACGCAGGCCGGTCCTGAAGCAACAACTTGTATTTAGAGGGAGAGAAACACATTTCAAACAACCTGGCATAATTATTTTATTTATTTATTTGAACACATAAATATTAGTACTAAAGGGCACCGAATACACACAAGTCACTTGATTTATGTGTTGGCTGTGATACTTCCCGGTTACCCAGACCGAAGCAGGTGGTTTTCTTATGGGGTTACACTCCGAGCCTTCAAGCTAAAGGTCTGATCCACAAGTCAGTGGAGTAACATCAGGAAATGTAGTCCTATGGTAGCAGCTGACCAACGATTGGTTCATACGCCATTTGTTCCTTTACGATCCTGGAGAACATGTGCACCATTGGTTTGGAATCAGGGTTTTCCAATTCCTCTAGGTGAACTCTCCGTGTCCACCAACCCGTTTAAAGCGCCGAACATTCGCTTTTTGTCCTCACAATTTCGTAAACACCCCGCCACGAGAAGGTATTGAGTAGGACTTTCCTGACAGTGGCTGTATACGCGTGGCCATGAGTGAGTATTTTGGGAGGGAGAGCGGAATTTCCCCACTCTCGGTCGTACCAGGGCATTCGTGGGTCATCCTGGCATTGTTGATCAGTGCTACCATAAGACTCTGCATTTTGTCAGCGTCTTCACTAAACAAGTCTATGTCATCTGCATATTCTAAGTCAATAAGTGGATCTCCTGGTAGGAGATAAATTCCTGAAAATCCAGACGACGAGGTTATTTCCAGAAGTAAATCTATGATAAAATTGGACAGAAATGGAGATAGTGGAAAGCTTAGTTCAGCGAAGAGTTCTCTTTTCGACGAATTCATTTTCAAAGCTGTACAATTGCAAATATATATACTTATTTTTACAGGATGATAATAATACACATGGTGACAGTGAGGTTAAATAAACAAAGGTATTAGAAAAAAAATTTTAAAACAAGGAAAGTTTGATAGTTAATGGCTTAAGTATTCATCGGGTAAGGATGGCTCAGCATGATAAAATAACAGAAAATGTTGAAACACAGATGAAATGTAATCGGAATGATCGTGGAAATAAAAACAAACCGGTTGGGGGTAGAAGATTTGAAGGGAAGATGGAAGGTGAAGCAGGTGGCTGTAAAGGAACAAGAGTATGAAGAAAGAGAAAAGAAAAGAAAAAAATTTTTAATACATTAAGACCATGGCAAAAGAAGAGGTTGTACCAGTCTCTTTTGTACACATAATTCTGGTTTTTCAAAATGTATGGCTATTGCCTCGGCAATGCAACGAAGATGCAGTCTAATTGTCTTAGGAAGGCTTCTACTTACCTTGTAGATGACTTTGAACGCAGAGTCTGTCTTGGTTGAGTGGATGTTCATGTATAAAATTTTCTTTTCTACTGTAGTTGTTCGTGGTTTTGGCATTTTCGGCTTCATGTTCTTATCAATGAATATAGAAGGATATCCGTTTTTGATAAGTATCTCTTTTAAAAGGCTCAATTCTTTCTCTACGACCTCGGGGCTACAGATTCTTCGTATTCTTGTGGCGAGAGTTATTATTAAGTTTCTTTTTCGGCTGATGGGAAACCAACTGTGGAAATTTGATAGTTGGCCATTCCACATGGGTTTCGTGTAGATAGATCTTTTTAAAGTACCATCTTGTTTTCTTGTCATATCTACATCAAGGAAGTGAATATTTTGTTTGCTTTCAACTTCAAGTGTGAATTTTATTGATGGGTGACAGTTATTAAATGTCTTTAGGAGATCATTTAAGTTACATTTGTTGTCACAAATGATAAAGATATCATCCACATATCTTTTATACAAGTGGAGGTTTTCTATAATTCTTTTGAGTTGGTTGTTTTCTAAACTGGCCATGAAGCAATCTGTCAGTAATGGACCAAGTGGGGATCCCATTGCTATACCATCCTTCTGTCTATGAATTACATCGTTGAATGTGAACTGTACATTGCAAGTACAACGTAGTAATAATTCCTTCAAATAAACTTCAGGTATCCCAATGTTTATCTCAGTATTGTTTATGTACTTACAGATAAAATTAATGGTCTCTGTGAGTGGAACACTAGTGAATAATGATTCCACATCCAGAGATAGAATAATTTTGTCACTTACATTCACTTCTTTTATGTGCTCGATAAATTCAAAAGTATCACGTACGGAATGTTTACAAATGAGTTTTCTAACGGGTTCTAAGAGATTCGCCAACCACTTTGCTATAAGGTGGTAAGGGGATCCAGACATATCGAGAATCGGTCTAAGAGGTAGGCCAGGTTTGTGTATTTTTGGCAGACCGTATAATCGCGGTATTATTGATGCTGTTGGTTTTATGTGCTCAAAGACCTGTTCGTTGATTAACTGCTCATTTTTCATTCTCTTAAGGACATCAATTAGTTGCTTTTCTATAATTTCAGTCTTCTTTTTCTCATTGATGGGTTTTGAGAATTTGGTGTCATCTGATAAAAACGTTGTCATTTTTTCAACATAACTCTTGCGATCTAGCAGCACTAAACCAGCACCTTTATCTGGACGTGTTATGATCAAGTCTTTATTATTTCTAAGTAGTTTTATCTGATTTCTATGTTCTTTTGTTAGTAGACTTTTGCCTGTTACTTTTGTGCTAATATATTGGTTGCAGCTGTCAAGAATAGTAGATTCGAAACGTTGGAATTCTTGATCAGAGATTGGATTAAGACCATTTGTTTGTTTGATTAAGTTTTCGAATTGAACATGTCTGTTGATTTTGTTAACTTTTTCATTTATGTCGCAGAATTTTATCCCCAAAGATAAGGCTTCTAATTGTACATTTGTCAACGATATTGAAGAATGATTAAACACATATCTCTCAGGGTTGTTAGGAAAGTTGTGATGTGTTTCCGTAGTTTTTAAACTTTTAGTGAGGTCTGATATTAAGTTTTTTGTGCGTTTGTCAACTGTGGTAACATAATCGGTGAAAAGATTGTGTTCATTAGGTGATAATTTATATAATACATGAGATCTTTGTGAAATGTTGAATTCCAATAACGGAATGCGAGGACGAATAAAGTCAATAACATTTTGTGCATGGCGTTTAAGAGATTTCGAGTTTGGATAAATATGATTTCTTCGAAGAATTTTCCAGTAGTATTTAGGATATTTGTGCATTTTAACGCAATCGTTAAGAAAGGTAATCTTCGCATTCACCCTGTAAAAATAAGTATATATATTTGCGATTGTACAGCTTTGAAAATGAATTCGCCGAAAAGAGAACTCTTCGCTGAACTAATCTTTCTTTCTTATATAGTGGAAAGCCTTGGCGAACACCATTTGAGGTTACAAAATCAGATGACAGCCCACCATAAGCTTTAACTCGACTGGTAGTGTTCGAGTAAAGAGCCTTCACAAGGTTTGTGCGCCCCTGAGGTACACCGTTCAATGACAGACACTGTCACAGAACCTTTCGGTCTACCGAATCAAATGCTGCTTTTAGGTCAAGAAAAACTATCATTGTCGGAAGCCGACAAGTATGTCTGTGTTCTAAAACGTGACGAATAGTGAATGTGTGGTCGATGCAGCCACGATCAGGTCTGAAGCCAGCCTGATTTTCTCGCGTTTGAAGTACACGAGTCTTAGATAGGCGACCGATAATTATTTATGCTAGTATTTTAGACGCTGTATTACTCAAAATAATCTCTCTATGATCACAGGATGATTTTGAACCCTACTCATATATTGGGACAATGAGTGATTGTGACCAGTCAGATGAGATTACGTCCAAAATCCCAGATGGTAGCTAAAATATTAGTCAACCTAATCTCCAAAACTGGACTAACCATCCTTACAGATTTCTGAAGCCAATCCATCTGGACTAGTTGCTCTTACTCGTTTCATATTAGCTATAGCTTTTCTAGGGTGGGGGCCTATCCCAATGTTTTGTTCAGGATGTTTGGGAAGAGTGGGTAACTGTCGAATAGCTGAAGGCCAGCTAAACTGTTCCGCTCACCGTTCTAAACGTCTGGACTGATGACTACAATTATACTATTTTTCTGACAGCTTATATGGAAACTAGTTTTATTTGAAGACGGTATTCATCACAATTTGGTACCCCGAATGGGATCAATTTCTAATAAATAACACCTTCAAGTCTATATTTGTCTACTCGACTTTCTGTTATTGCATACATATATAGCTTTAAACACTATCCAACTGTTGAACTCTAAATAGTTACAAGGTAGTACTGATAAGAACTGTACAAATTATAATTAATTAGTCAACTATTGTTTATGCAACTAAAATACATTCTGAAGATTATATGCATACAATTATTTCTTGAATATCTGTTTGGTCATCAGAAGTCCATATATTTATTAAGATGGTACCTGTTTACGTTTTTATGATATAAATTTAAGCTTAACACATTACATGAAGTCGATGGACTTAAGTATTAATGTTAAACATTGGTACAAGGAAGCCAAAATATATATGCACGATACAACAAAAATGAGGTCGTGAAGAGATAGAGGAAGGAAAGTGAATATAACAAAAACAAGAAAAACTATGTATAGATATTGGTGCATGTGAGTGAAATAATGATGGGAGAAGCAGTTCAGTTAAGCAAAATGCAACCAGAAGGGATATTTTTCAGTTAAAAAAGTTGCTCCCACTTTTATGAAGGAAGCCAAAGTTACAGCAGGATCACCACTGGCTTCGATTCTGAGCCATTTCTGGTAATGTTCCAACCCTATATGTTGCACTATCTCGGGGACCACAACAAGATAGTCGTAAGGAACCAAGAAAATCTGATCCTGTACAAATTTCTTTCATACCTCGAGATCATGTCATAAACTAATTACCTCTCCAGTCAATCCGAGAGTCAGCAAAAAGGTTACAGTGTGGAAGTCGCTATGGAAAAGACATTCTTTGCACATGTACAAGCCACCAGAGTCAATGTTTCAAGATGGTGACAGCAACCGAATTATCTTCAATGTGACCAAACACACGCTGCCAAACCTCTGCATTAATAAGAACACGGTGTTTCCACTGAATTCCAATAGTCATTCGTAGACAACGATGATCCGACGCAGAGAATCGCCTAACATCTCCAATTCGAAGAGACCATTTTTCAAAAACATATAGCAATACTGCTTTCCCCGACGCATTAAAGACCTGACCTTCTACAGCGAGACTAACGTCACTCACGCCACCAACAGCACTCACTGAGCTACCCAAATACACGAACTTCTCGACTACTCATGTTTGCTTACCACCAAGAGTGAGTGCAGGTTTAGGATCTTGAGAGTCTTGTAAAAGTACTTTGCACTGCCAAGGTGCAAAGCAAATGCCATACCCACGGACACTGGTTGCCAGCTGATTAAGTGCAGATTGCATCGCTTAGGTACCATCACACAGTAGGACAATATCATCCGGACACTCAAGGTCGAAGAGTCCTTCTCCAGACAACAGATTGACACCACCATTACCCACATCCATCAAAGTTGATTTTAGACCGTCATTGATGGCAAAGTTGAAAAGGAATGGTTAGATTTGGCAACCCTACCTAGCCCCGCTTCTGGGTTAGAACAATGGAGAGAGGTGACCGTATGCCCCCACCCCGCCAGTGGTGTTTGTATCGTTGCAACCATATTCACGTTTCAAATTTATTCCTCATCTTTCTCATGCTCTTTAAGTAGATAACTATCTTTCACATATTTGATTTTATCCTTTTTTCTACTTCTAAGTCGTTACGCGATCTCATGTCAATCCGTGAAATTGTTTACTATTCTCTATATTCTTCGACAGACTAAGAGTGGTAATAGACGTACGTAAGCAAGCGATGTAGACATTTAAATTCGGAGCACGACAGGACAACACGTTAACAACTTAGCCTACAACGGCGACCTATTACCACAATTGAATAATCTCGGCAATATACTAACTGACTGTGTATAATACATCAAAAAGGGGTAAGATCAATGTAATATAGCTGTAAATGTTACATACATTAAATTTTCGTAAAAAAGTTTACCACGTTTGGATATTCATATTCAAATGATGTGCTACTACACATAAATAGTCTAGTATCGATCCTTTCTCTTAATATTTAACGACCATTACTGTATATGGATTTCTGCAACAGGCTGTTCAATTTTTAATCCATTTACACTGTTATTATTTTTCAGAGCGTCAACAAATTTCCACTAACCTGGATAACCGTTATCAATAAGTTGGCACCTCACCACCAGACCGTTCGTTTTAGGAAGGCCTTCCACAACAAAGGGTGAATCGAACATATTTTACACAATTGATAATGTAATTCCCCTCTTCAATGTTCGCCTTTATTAATATGAGCCTTTTCAATGGTTGCCATTTTGCTTGCTCCCTTACTATTGTGAACCGATTTATCTATCACCTGTTGTTTTCTGAGCAGCCTCTCTTAGTGAGATGATAAAACCATAATACTTTGAAACCGCCACATGATAGATCTTTTAACCTACATTCATTTTAACGACTAGATATCAATAAGGATACGAGAAAAATCTACTGGATAGGAAAGGAAAATTAATACCTAGGTAAATATTTGTATAAAGGGGCAATAAAGTACTGTTTGAGAATAATACATCTAACAACACTAATTAAACCATTGAGGGTGGATATATGAAATATAATTTTGGTTGATAACAGTGAGGAACTAAATACACAAAGTGATTTTGAAAGTAAAAAGGAGCAAACAATGACTCACTTTGATCTCAATAATTCTGGTATAAGGTGTTCTAACAAGATACCCAGTCGATCCCAACGAGTTGAACCACATTCATGATGAAAATCAAAACTTTCATATCTTTCGTAGTAAAAAGAATAAGAAACAAACTATAAAATATTGCAGGAAAATGAATTCCAATACATCAGTTGATGGCTATATGTTTCAAATATGATTATTTTCGCATGATTCATAATGAAAGAGTCCACACAAGTTAGAAATATTACCAATTTATAAAAACGCTTGTAAATTAACAGCTATTATGTCTAAATATTTTGGACAAAAGGATTTGGTAGTCTAGTCAAACTAAAAGTAATTTAGCACAAAACTAGTTGACTTAGTGAACAGTATTGTATTTTTTGATCATGAATATTCAATAAAATACAGAAAGCGCCACGTATGGTTTGACGATCCCTATGAACAAATACTATCAACCTACTACCAACGATCTCCCACCCACGAAAGTCATTTTTCCACAACCATAAAGATTCGAACGCCAACCCGACAGCACTGGTTGCTTCACACCACGGACTTACCAGCTGTGAAGAGTAAAAGATAGTTATTACATATTAACAAAGGGATAATAAACACAACCGGCTTCATTCTAACAACAAACTATACACATGAAGACAACCAGAGCAAGTGAAGTAAGTAAATAAGTATGTTGTATGCATGTATGTTATTGTTTGCACTTACCGAGAGGAATTCCAGATAAATAATATTTATTCGAGTGGTTTAAGTTCAAAAGGCATTTAGAAAATTAAAATAGTTGGATTTATTTATTTAATACCAGGGCTCGAAAGCGGTCGAATTGATTAAGAAATGGCAAGTATTGATTTACTAGTTTGAGATTCTCGATAAGTAAATTACCACATTATACAAATTTATCAGAGGGAATAATTGTCTTAAATATATATTATCAGTTGCAAAATGAATAAACAAGAAACTGTAATGTAAATTGGCATGCACACTGTTGATTAAAGCAGAATAGTTGCTTCAAAATAAAACGGATTAACATCATTAGTATATCAAACTATATCAGATTTGTTAAATGTTTACTTATTTTAGTGACATACATCACAGCACTATTGCTATTTGTTACTGAATGTATTCACAGACAATTCTCTGTAGTTCTAAAGAGAAGTAATTATTCATGAGGCTAATCAGGTTTGGATTGGCACCATATAATCACCGGCGCTGCCGAAATAACATTTGATTAGGTTGGATTTGAAAAATAATGATCACTAAATTCTAGCTTAATGACCAATCTACTCAATAAAAACGGTCAATAATGTTAGGAATGTGTACAACAGACTGATACCAAACTCAAAAGAAACTCAGACAGAGTTTCTCCACAACAGACTTCAGTTTGTGACGAAGACTGTTTTGGAAAATTTAAACATGAATAATTGCATACAAGTTATTCTTACTTGACTTCTTTTTCATCTAAAGCTGAAACGGCCATAGCATAAGCATGTCCTAAATTACGTTCCATCCCTTTCTGATCTAACAAATTTATTATTGTTTGTCGTCCGTAACCATAATCGTATATTAAACTATGAAAATGTTGGCGTGCAATATTAGCTTGAATTGCCTCCAAATTCTTCTCAGTCTCATTAACGGTTAAGTTAGCCGAGTGTGTTATACTGGAAGATAGTTGACTACCACCTAGTAAAACAGCTGGTTTATATCTTAAGTTCGGTCGTTGACTCCAATATATTGGCACAGAACCACGAAGCTTCGGTTTGGTTATTTTAAATTATGATGGATGGAAAAGATAAATAAGCGTGTGAAAATATAAAACATATAAATAATACAATAAGGCAGAATCGATTCGCCGTAATAATAGTAGTATACATATATGATGTGAACAGAGAAACAAGAAGCCTTGACAAATTACGAAAGCTATTTTTCGGGACGTTATTTTAGTTAATTCAAGGCTTGTAAAACATTAACATTTATTTTTGTCCATAGTCTATTCTACAGACCATAAGCTTTCGTTTGATGTATGATTCACTGCCATAGCCCTTTTTGTTCTAAAGCTATTGTAATTTAAACGTATTATTTTGTACTCTATTTTCTACGCTGATCCCCAGTTTTTGTATTTTCCTAATTATTGTATGTTGTGGTCGGGTTAGTCATCCATTTATTCATGTGCCTTTTAACACTGATCTGAAATCGGGAATAGACCGAGTAGTGTTCCAGTCGGCTTATCTTCTCTCACTCGCGTGCTTGTCAGCTAATCAATCAGATGATAGAATAGTTTTCGTCTCTCTCACCCATTTCGAACTCACGCATACTAGCCTCAGGTTCAAGCCAGTCAACCTATCACGTCAAGGTCTTAATCTAGATTAGACAAGTTATCCTCTGAACAAAATTGGTAGACAGATCGAAGACGTAACAATATACTAAAAAGTTGAACTTCTATTCTTAGTAATAGGAATTAAAACAGCAGTAACCTAATTTGATCTCTATGAACCAATATGCTAAGCTACAATGAGGAAAGTCTTAGTTAATTTCTGAGATTTTAAACACTTTTTGTGAATAAGTCTACCGAAATCCGATTACAGAATCAAACTCATTTAACACAGTAAAAGCTTATTAGTAATGTCGGTAAATTATAATTAAACAGTAGTCATGGAGGCCATAATTTGCTTTTAAAAAAATCTGCACTTGACGATAGTTTAATTTAAAACTCAGTATAATTAATTTTAAAATGTCAACATAAAGTACTGACACTAGGCCATCTCAATTATTAAGAGAGAGTGATAATCGTACGTCACTCAAACTGAAAACAATGTTTTATGTAGAAATTAAGTTACCGTACAGTTTTTGTGCTTATGAACGTCGAGACAAAATTACATTACTTTCCCTAGAGGTGTCTAGAAACACATGACCATTTAAGAGCGTTACGAGAGAGAAAGAAGACTCTCCACTATCGTCTCTTTTGGGTTATTTTCTGTATGGTCGCTGGAATCTTAAGAGTTGTTTGCGTACGGCGGACCTATTATGTAAACAATGATGAAGCGATGTGTAGGTCACCATGAAGAGATAGTATGTTCGTTGATTGGTCTGTGGAACCTCGGCAACTGAGCTGGTTGGAGCATGTTCCACACATACCTCGTCGCTTGTTTTGAAGTCCTGTATTTGCCATGGTAGAAGTACTTTTTAAAAGCGCTTGTACTGACCAGACCAAGATCTATGACTTGGGGGAAAGCTCTTCGGCCTTGGGTATGCACATGATATTTTCATACTGTATGGTGATACTCAAGCTATACCAACTAACACTTAATCAGTCGACACTCAGTGTCTGTAAGGTATGGCACGTACTTTTTATCTTCAAAACGCAATGTACTTTTACGAAACTTGGATGAGTCTGTATCTGAATCTACTTTATGTGGTGAGCCATTAGAAGTAATCGAAAAGTCTGTGCATTTGGATTGTTGTGTGAGTGCTGACGGTGGCGTATAGTGGAAACCAGAGTGGCTTATCTCAACGTGGTACATCTTTAGTGCCTCCATGGTAGAGCTGGCTGGTTTATCATCGCCACTTGATCCTACTATATCAAAAAATGTTATGAAGTTATAACATACTAATGGTGGAAACGACTGATCAATAAAAATGAATCCCAGTTTTTCTTTCATGTTTTAACAACATGAAAGGCCAAAGCATACGGTAAATAGATTATTACCAAATCCTACAAACCTGAACAAAAGAAAACCTATGCCCCGAAATATCGACCAATTGTTCTGTTTCTACAGTATTCGCACAGTTCCCTTCCCCGTCAACTCCACGTGCGTTGAATCTTGTTCCAGTTCGATGTATACTACGACGAGAGATGAGGGAATACACGAGGTTTCCCTTAAGAGTGTCAGACAAATTTTCTGGATATGATATTATCCCAACATATCCTTGAATGATAGGTACACAGTAATCGAAGCGATTCCAACCGGTTGTTTGCTTATGCTTGAAGGATGATGTAGAATTAAGCATAGATTCCCATTCATTCAACAGAGATTTATTCCACGTAAACCGTGTATCTGCCTATATGAGTATATTAAAAGTTCAAGGAAAACGAATTAAAAATCCCATTAAGATAAGAGCTTATATAAGAATATCAGTCCGTAAAAATGAAAAACCAAACCAATAATACTTTATATCATTTATAATCAGCATGTACAAGGAGGCACCAAATAGATATGCGCCACATAAATCATTCGATTTATGTGAGGGCTGGGATACTCTGCCCGAGTGCCCAAACCGAAGCTGGAGACAAATGTGAGTTGGCCTAAATTACCATACTACATTGTACGAGATGAAGTTAACGAGTCGTTAAGCTACTTTTCACTAAATTAATTCAAGACTTTATTTTTCTTATCACAACTAGTACATCTGTCATCACATAATCAATTTGCATTTTTACTTGTTGTTTACTTGTGTGATCTATTTCATTGCTATCGCTAACTCATAGATTGCCTTCATTTATTTAATATTTTTATATATCCATATAAATATTGATGTCTGATGGAGTTATGTCTGAAAACAATACTGTCCGCTTATATGTTGTTCAAATTACATCCAACAATACCTAAACACGTTATATTATAATGACCTTTCAAACAGTCAAACCCAAAACATCTGCCCTGAGTATGTACCCACAAAAAGGCATTTTATGCATAGAATGATCACGAAGCATGAAACATTTACCACCAACCAGATAAATTACCAAAGTGACTTCAGAAATACAAATAAAACATACACATTATATAAGAAACTAGAACACTCCCCTAGTTAGTGGATGGACCGATAATGGGTTGTCTGCTCTTTTTTTCTTCTTTCATATAGCAATGTTTACAACCGCTGCCAGGAAAGTCCTGCTCATTATCTGATAGTGAGGGTGTTGTTTACGAAAGTAAGAGGATAAGAAGTGAATGTTAGGTGCCTAAACTGAGTTGGTGGATCCATCTGAAGGGTTTGGAAAACCCTGATCTCAAACCAATGGTGATTAAGTATGATTTAGGACATGATGTTAGCGCTAAATCGTGTAATACATTATACCTTCCTTAAGCCTGTTACTCCTATTGGGGCATACACTGCCAACAATGAATCTCCAAATAGCTGTTCTAGACCCTCTTCCGCAATTGTTACTCCTCAAAACTTCCTACCCACCTGTCCTACTGCTCTTGAACTTCAGTGATTGATTCTAACTCTTTGTTCCTGATTGGTCCCTCGTGCCAACTATATTTTCCTGCAATCTGGTTGCATTAGCTTCAGTTTTAGCTTTGCCACCCGTGGATGGTAATCTAACGGCACATCCGTTCCTCACCATGTTCTTACATCTTCCATAGAACTTCCGAATCGTCTACTTGTGCATGTGATCGATCTGGTTCTCCGTAGTATGGCCACGTGAAACCCATGTAGTTCTGTGGATGCATTTGTGGGAAGAATGTTGCCACCTATGAGCACGACTCAAAGTAAACATATCTACCAGTCTTTCACCATTCTCCCTTGGCTTGGATTCTCTGCATCCAGGAAGCTACATGCAAACGCGTTCTTGCACTAGAGCATGATCAAAGTCTAGACATGTACTTCAGTCTTTTACCGAGCCTCTCTAACGACGACTGATACTAATATGGTTTATTAGCGTCTATCGTTGAGTTAATTCCGGTTGTTTTCATGTCAGATGTTTTTCCAAATGCTCAAAGTTGGGGCTTGTCAAGAATGGTCGGTTATTTAAGCACAACTACAGAAGACTGTTGCCATTATCTATTCATTGGGCTAGGACGCCAGAAGACTCATCTGTTTTTCAGTTTGGCTTGAATTACTTAGGCATTAAAATCACCCATCACTAATGCAACATTTGGGCGGTTAACTTTTTGAGGATGGAACGTAGCCTACAAATTTATTTATTTATTTATTTGAACACATAAATATTGGTACAAGAGAGCGCCAATATATATGCGCCACACAAAACAATGAGAATTCGAAGAGAAGTAGAAAGAGAAAAAAAACTAAGGAACGCAAAAGAAAAAGAGAACAATGACGAAGAGATTGGAGTAAGGTAGTGTGGTAGTAACGACGGAACGAAAAAGTACAATCAGAAGAAATCTTTCAGGTAAAGGAGACACAACCACTTTTTATGAAGAAAGTAAAAGAAGGTTACAGCAGGATCGCCACTGGCTTCTATTCTGAGCCATATCTGATAACGTCTCTAGCCACTGTGTAGCACCATCTCTCGGACCCCAGCCAGGGAGTCGTGAAGGACCAACACAAGCCAGTCCTTTGCAGCTTTCTTTCAAACCACGACGCCGTGTCGTGCACTGACCACCTATCCGCTTCTTCCAACCAGTCCCAGAGTCGGCAAATAATGCACGACGTGGAATTCTCTGGGACGACATTCGGAGAACATGTCCAAGCCACCGAAGTCGGTGTTTCAAGATGGTGACACCAATTGAATTATCATTTCTGTGCCCGAACACACGATGCCGAACCTCTGCATTACTGACATGGTGTTGCCACTGAATGTCAGCAATCCTTCGGAGACAGCGATGATCGAACACAGAGTCGTCTAACGTCCTCAACTCGGAGAGGCCGGGTTTCACAAACATAGAGCAAAACTGCTCTCACCGACGCGTTGTAGATCCGACCTTTTACAGCCAGACTAACATCACGAAGGCGCCAAAGGTGGCCCAGATTGGCATAAGCCGCTCTGGCTTTCACTATTCGTGCATTGATCTCATCACTCACACCCCCACCAGCACTTATGCAGCTACCCAGATACACGAACTTCTCGACTACGTCTATCTGCTCACCATCCAGGGTGAGTACAGGATTAGAATCCCGCCAGTCTTGTAGAAGTACTTTGCACTTCGAAGGTGCAAAGCACATACCATACCTACGGACACTGATTGCCAACTGATTAAATGCGGATTGCATGCCTTGGGCATTATCGCACAGTAAGACAATATCGTCCGCATACTCAAGGTCGAGAAGTCTTTCTCCAGGCAACAGATCCACACCACCATTACTTACATTCATCAGAGCTGTTTCCAGAACGTCATCAATGGCAAAGTTGAAGAGGAATGGTGAGATTGGGCAACCCTGCCTAACCCCACTGCTCGAATGGAACAATGGAGAGAGGTGGTTGTATGCCCTCAATCTGCCTGAGGTGTTTTTATATAGGGCTTTTAGGATGTTAATAAACTTCTCAGGCACACCCTTCTTCAATAGACAATCCCAGAGAACAGCCCTGTCCAACGAATCGAAGGCAGCCCTGATGTCAAGAAACACTACGATTGTTGGCCTTTGAAAAGTATGGCGGTGTTCTAACATTTGGCGGAGGGTGAAGATATGATCAATACATCCTCGACCAGAACGAAACCCAGCCTGCTCCTCGCGAGTCAATCTTTCTCGGGTTTTGAACAACCTACGAAGTATGACGGAAGCCAATAGCTTGGACGCAATCGGAAGTAGACTTATCCCCCGATAGTTGTTACAGGAACGACGTGAACCCTTTTTAAAGATAGGGACAACTATCGACTCATTCCATGACGTTGGTACACTCTCTAGTTCCCAAACCTTTGTAAACAACGTCGTCAATTCCTTAGTCAAAAAGTCACCACCATCTTTAAAAAGAGCCGGAGGTAAGTCATCTGGGCCAGGTGATTTGTAACGCTTCAAGAGTTGGAGTTCCTTGCGGACTTCCTCCTCATTTGGTGGATCAGTCGTCACCGGCCATGGAGGGCAGGACAGTCTGACCGATGTTGCCGGAGCAGCAGGCCAGTTGAACTGCCCTTCGAAAAATTCTGCCTATCGTCCAAGACGTCGATGGATGTTAGTGATTGGCATCCCATCATCCTCGCAGATTGTTTCACTCACACCAGAATTCTTGCTGCCAGTGGCTCGGATGAGTTGGAAGAGCTTCCGGTAGTTACCAGATGCAGCTGCTGCTTCCAGCTCATTAGCACGCATCGACCACCAGGCTTCTCGGTCCTTACGCAAGCTTTGCCCAATTTCCTTACGTAACATCCTTCGTTTATGGTCAAACTCACGGTCACCCGGAGTAGACCGACGGGCTTCAATGAGTTGTAAGGAACCTGGAGAAACCCAGTGCTTAAAAGCGGGACGTTTCGCAAACCCACAACTGACTGTTCCCGCCATTTTCATGGCGTCATGCAATTGCAACCAATGTTCATCTATACTTTTCGCTGGAGTGGTAGCTAGCCTAGAGGCTAGCTCGGTTCGATACTTACTTGCAACAGAAGTTGCAACCAGCTTGCTAACATCAATCCGTTGATGGCGTTTACTTCGTTGTCCACTGAAAAGTAAGGCAAGATTAGCGCAGACCAAGGCATGGTCAGAGTCCAGATAGGTACTCCAAAAGGAGCGGCAGTCTTGTACACAACCACGCCAGCGGTAGCTGATCGCGATGTGATCAATCTGAGTCTAGGCTTGAGATGCAGAGGGAGGACGCCAGGTGGCACATCGGCGATGACTGTGCCGAAAGTTAGTGCTAGCCAGAAACAGGTTGTGGTCTGTGCAAAGTTGCAGTAGACGGTCCCCGTTATCTGACCTGCGACCAACAAGTCCCCATCGGCCACCTAAACGACTCTCTTCTGTGCCTAGACGCCCGACCTGAGCATTCAAGTCTCCGGCTAGTACTACAATATCTGTCGAACGCACTTTCTGGAGAGGAACTGATAACTGGTGGTAAAACTCATCCTTGATTGCATCCGGGCTGCAATCTGTCGGGGCATAGGCGGAGATGATGAAAAGACATCGTTTCTCACGCCGATTTCTTCTCACTTTGATGGAACTTTCTAATCTAACAGCACATAACCGACTGTTAATGGGGATCCAACCGACTAGTGCTGCCTCAGCTCTAGCGCTTAGTGCGACACCAACGCCAGCAAGACCAGACGAAGATGCCACAGGGTCCCCGGATAAGCGCACGTGAAACAAGCTTTTCGAAGCGACAGATAGAGATCGGATTTGTAGTACTTCGCCAGAGTCTTGAATACGGGTCTCGGATAGACATCACACGTCAATATTAAGACTTTCCAAAGACATAGCCAGCCCTATCTGTTGTCCGACCTGCATAAATGTGCGAACGTTGAAGGCAGCCAGTTTGAATGGTGCACGTGGTTTCAGAAAAACTGCTTCAGTCCTCGTATTCGGTGGTAACATACAATTTTCAACCGGACAGTGACTCGAGAACGATTAGATACAGTCGGACTTCCACCAAAGACAAGCCGCTGTATAAGTATAAAAGAGGGTGAATAATGTGGAAAATAATAATAATAATAATAATAATAATAATAATGGCAATAATAGTAGTAATAATAATATTAGTATTAATAATGACAATAATTGTAATGATAATAATCTGAATCAATTGTTTGTTTTTCAAAGCGAGAAAGGTAATTTCCATAGGCATAAAGAGATCATCAATTTGTGTGCGGGCTGTGATACTGCCCGGGTGCCCAAACCGAAGCAGGTGGTTATCTTAGGGGGCCACTCCCAGAGCCTTTGACCTAAAGGTCTAACCTACAAGACAGTGGAGCATCGTAAGGAGATGTCGTCGCATGGTAGCCGGTGACCAACGATTGGTTCATACGCCATTCGTTACCGCAGGATACTGGAGCCCATGTGCACCATTGATTTGGAATCCGGTTAAAGCGCCGGACATTCGCTTTTCGTCCTCTCATTTTCGTAAACAACACCCTCGCCACGAGAAGGCAATGAGTAGGACTTCCCTGGCAGAGGCTGTATACGCGTGGCCGTGTGAGAGTATTTCGAGAGGGTAAGCGGACTCTCCCCACTCTCGGCCGTACCAGGGCATTCAGGGGGGGCCTACAAAGTTCAACTTTTACTTCCTTTGAACTGCAATCAGTGGATGCATACAGATACGACGAAACGCAACATAATCCTGCGCCATTGAGACGGACAGAACATAAGAGGCTATCGAAAAAATCTAGTCAAGTGGCTGTCCAGCTTTAAAACTTAATGCTATACCTACGCCGGCGATATCACGAGTTGATGCTACATATCCAGATACAGAGAAAATATATCGTGTTAGCTCTATACACTGGCTAGGAAAGGTCAGATGTAAGAACATGATAGGGTCCCGTATTCATGTTTTGGAGACGCAACATGTATCAATAGTATGAGATTTTAGAACCCTAGCTAACGAACCCTGTTGTTCTGTCCAACAAGGTTAAAAGATTGGAAACTGCAACATGTAGTTTAAAGTGCGACTTCAAGAGAACAGAAACAACATTTTGTGAACTCGAATCTTTAGCATCGGTAGCATATGTAGAAAAATCCATATAAAGGTTAATTGTAGGGACAGGAGGGATATGAAAGTGACAGAGAGGTCATCGTGAACGTGGCGCGTGGTGTTACATATATGAAAGAGGCTGTTACTTTTAGGTCGCCCACGCCGTGTGTGGATATTTCTTCATGAGGTGCCTGAAAGTGGGACTAAATTAGAGATTGACTGTGAGCATTACCAGAGTCCAAGGAACAACTGCTCGATGCTTGCCACGCAAGACGTTTCCGTGGTAGGTTTCTGATGTTCTAAACCCATATTTTAAAACGCCTTACCGCCAAAGACGGAGATCAGTGAGGTATGGTAACGTATGACATTTTTAGCATCAACCTTCTTCAGTCCGTTCCCTACATTGTGAGAAAGCATCATTACAACAGACACTGGCTATCTGAGGGAAATACCCCACTGTTGTCTTATCATTGAACAGTCAGCAGTATGGCTACGTTAGTTGCTGTTTTTAGTATCACCGTTCTCCAAATGACCTGCCTAGCATATTAGAACTTGAAGAGACAAGTGTTGCAGTTAATATAGATCAGCTGAATCGTTAAGATATGCAAGTCCCATCATCATGTCAAGGTAGAAGATACAGTTGGGTTGTTTGATCAATCGTAATTTAAAAACTGCACCAACTATCACTGGTAAGCAAAAATTAATATGACAATTAAGACTGTTTAGTGTTAGCATAAATTATCGGCGGAAAAAATCCGAAAATTTGCTTAAACCACACAATCGCCATTTGATTAAAAGTTTCATTGAAAAACAAAATGCTTACACGCTCGTAAATACTGGATGCCTTGAATTTTGGGTCCGTATCCGATAAACGTTGCAATGTGTGACTCAAGTCATAGGTACTCGAGTAGTAAAATCCTTCTGACGACAGAATACTATTAAGCATTTGGCAATATAAAGATTCATCTTGATTCTACCAATTCACATAAATCTAAGTTCGCTTACCTGAATATCTGTCAAATGAAGTACAGACCTTGCAAATGGTAATATGATGCTCTTGGTTATTTTTAGAATAGTGTTCCCGAATATCTCACCGACTCGCTCACGTTCTTTAATTACTATCAAATAAAACCCTAGTTTGAACGGATATGAAACAAACACTTGAAACCTACCCGAAACTAGACGTACAACCCCCCATATTCCATAGATTGTATGCTTTTTTGCTACGCTTGGGATGGCCGGTTCTTCAACTACGAAAATATGTCTTAATATGAAGAAACTAACATTCAACTTTAAGTTCTTGTGACACTCTGTCAATTATAATGAAGGCTTTCGACCCTAATGCGTTTATGAAGTAGTGATCTGGCGTTATGAAACTAAAAGTTAATCCATGTCAGAAAAATTATTTACAGAGTATATTCATTATAAACCATTCGGAGACGTAACGGTTAGCCTTCTTTAGGTTTGTATCGAACCTATAAATAAGTTATATTTTGGGAAGAGTAAGAAGCAAGGTGTGAGTCTGGGAGAGGTAAACATAAGCGAACTGAGTAAACAACCCATTAGGTTTACGTTATTCACTTGCATTCAAAAATAAACGCAATCGGCGAAAATTATCAACAACAAAAAATACAGAATGGAAATAACCTCAACTCCGGTTCGTAATTTTGGCAAACTACTTGTCGATCAGTCAGAATTAAGCGGGAACTATCATTTCTACAATCTTTGTAAGCACTGATGCATGACTTGTTTTATTCTGTTTTTTGCTAGCATTTTTGTGTTGCTGAAGTACTGAATCCTTAAGTGAGCATTCTTATGGAATCTCGAGATTCCGTAACTTGTGCGACGCTTTATGTGTTAGCACAACTTTTTCACGTTATTTGTGTTTTCTGGATTTTTCGCTCCTATTACTATTTACGGTCGCTGCATTCGTTCTAGTATGCTTACGTCAGATATATCTCCTCTCAATTATGAGCGATGTAAAACCACAGAAGCAAACGAGTGGCACTGTCCATTTTGGAGGTTACTGAGCACTTGAAGGTCAAACCGTCGTAAAAAGATTGGTGCGTCACTTCGACAGCTAGTACAGTTTTACAGATGCGACAGTTCAGATTCAGATTCGTGTAGTAAGGATAAACGGTCTATGGCCTATGTTATTCTTTTTTTAGTTTGCTTCTGTGAGTGCCTAGTCTTCTGTTGAATGAATCAAGTGAAGGTGTCTGCATGCAGACACCAATGCTTCATGCAACAGGTTCCAAGAACTGATGAATCAGTGTGTACACCTGTATGCCACGAGTATTTCATTCGTTCTAGGCCTTGCTACTCGTCTGCTATGTCCTCTGAGATGTCCCGATCTAGTGGGAAGGAAAAGAGAGGGTATATTAGGTCCAAAATCATTTCTTAGTATTCTTGTAGTGGCATTGGACAATAACCACACGATCTTCAAAGCTGAATACGAGATTGCTCGGAAAATAGGTATTCAATATTTAACGCGAAGAAATACCTAACGATAGAGAAGGCGCGAACAATGAGTTGAATGAATTGGAGTTGATTGAATGGAATTGCATGGGTAGCTGCCCTCTGCAGTTTTTCCAGGATATCCAAGTCACCTTTTAAACAGGGGCTTGCAGCCTGAACGCAGTTCTCAAGTTCAGTTCTCACTAAGGTTGAGTATACCGTAGTGAGTATGGTAGTATTTAACTTGGGGAATGTGTAACAGCTTAGGTTTATTAGTTAAGAATCGACCTCGAACGATCAAGTATATGTCAAAACAATAGAGCCCAAGTATTCATTCACTTTCTTAATTTGTATAGACATTATTCTTCCTATTATCTTGTGTTGAATGTTGAAAACATTTGTGCGTTTGAATAGGTAGTCCCACTCTCCACTATGACTGCACAAAGATCTAAATGAAGAACTTTTCACTACTAGTCTGCATTCTTCTATCAAAAGAACGAGGGTTGCCTACCGACACGAAAAATATCCGTATTAAAGCCCGTAGGCTTCCCAACCCCATTAGCTGCAACCTCCCGGCAATGAACTGTGGTCTTAAGATCTTGACTCACCATCACCCCAAAATTGTTGTAAGACCAGACCACAGATACAGCAATTCCGCTATGCTGTGACTACTAACTTTCATATCCCCGAAGTGCATGTAGACGCACCGTGACTCGTTGATAGGCATCAGTCGCGTTTTAGACCAGCTAATCAAAATATGCAACTCTGCCCGAAGTGCGCATGCATCTGTGTATCCTGGTATTTCTCACCAGATTTTCACATTGTCAGCGTATATCAACATTTAGGACTCCACTATACTTGAGGGATCATGCACATACAGTATAAAAGTGAAGGACTTAAGACAGAATCTTGCGGTACCACACTAAGTACTGGTTTCCAGGAGGCGTAATTTGAATTTATTCTTACTTTCTGTCTATGACCTACCACGAAATCCTTAAGCCATTTTAGTAGAGCTCTGGCAATGACAAGATTTTCCAGCTTTAATAGTACCTTATCAAATGCTTTGCTAAAGTCTATGTAGACAACATCCACTGATTTTCCGTTGTCTGGAGCCTTTATCCATTGCTTTCTTGATATTGGGAGGTTTGTTGTGCAGGATGAACCTTTTCTGAAACCATATTGTTCGTTGTTTAACAGGTTGTTGGTTTTCGCAAACGTCATTATTGTCTTTTTGACTATTCTTTCCAGTATTTCAACTACGACACTGGTGAGACTGACAGGTCTGTAGTTCGATGAAAGTCGTCATGATCCCGTTTTATGTATGGGAGTGGCGATCGCATCCTTCCAGTCTGTAGGTAACACACTTTCGTCAAGTGACATATTGAATATCATAGAAAGTCGGATTGCAATATATTGCGCAATTTTTCTCAGGAGGTCGTGCTCAAATCTAGCTTTTGGTTCCCTTTCGGAAGGTTCTCTTAACGCATGAATAGCGACTGATATGTCAGCGAGGCCCGTCTTAACACGCTGTAGGGTTTTAATTCCTGAAGACCGATTTGGCGTCAAGCACAGAGGTCCCACTCCGTTTCCGTACTTTTCTTTTCCTGGATGTGACTGTGAGCTAATCACCTGCCTTATTATATCTCTTAATTATGTCATCCATACCGCCTAGGCTTTGCTCCCCCATAATCTATTCTGCGTTGATATGTGAATCCGGAACTGAAACCGTAGATACACATACGTTGGCACTGTCAATAGGTAGTTTCTTCTCACCATGCTTTTTCTTTTTTCAATTGACAATGCCTACATCTGTATGTATTCTAACCGTTCCTCTAATGGGGTTCACTTTGATGGTCTTACTCTAATCCAAAGCTGGGTTGATGATTACGCTCGCTATTTTCTTGAAAACTGAATCCGATTCATCTACTACTGTTTGTTTATCTGAGGGCAATTTTCTAGCGATGTTCAGTAGCTCAATCACCTCAAGAATCAGCAGGGACTTTGTAGAACGGCAATCTTTGCATAGCCAACGTGACAGCGGCTTGCAGAAATTTTTATATGCAGTCGGTGTGAGTGCGGTGCACACATTGTGATACCACTTATCGCAGTTGTCACACTGAATTCCATCATCCACTGGAAAAAAGCATGCAGGCCTCCCACATGGCATCACTTTCATCACTTGACGGATGGATGCTACCAGACAGTGTACCTAAATTCAAATCAAATTCAAAGTTGTCTTGAATTGACCGCTTCTACAAAACCTTGCGATTTGTCGAGGTGACGCACGAATCGTTGTACAATAGATTGACCTTCAAAAGCTCAGTAACCTTCGTCAGTAGACGGTGCTACATCGTTGGCTTTGACTTATAGATTGAACGTGTGTCTTGTATCGATGTAGTCCCTTTTCTCGGTAATGTGGGTTTGAAATTATAACTTATCTTTTCAAAGGAAAACTTATTCATCTACGTACATTGATGTCTATTATTTGGCATATTTACTTGATACTGTTCGTCTCCAATCTTGATTGTGGTGGGTAATATTGTTCAATACATATCTGAGACTCCATATGCTACTACTTAATGATATCAGTATTTTACTTTCTTGTTACATATACTCAGTTCCCCGGTAATGTATCCAGTACTTTTGTCCAGAACAAGGACTTTAAAGTTCTCAATTGAGAACACTAGGAATGTTACTGCAGTAGCATTACAAACGATCTCATGAGATCAGGAATTAAGAGGGATGGTGTTGTATCTTAAGTATATGGAATGTCTATTACTGAAACATTTCTTCTGATAGCTTTAGAGATAAATAATGGATTCAAAAGGCTGTTGTTGTGCACCATATAGTTGATTATGTTATTTCTAGCTGCTTCTATTGAATATTATATTGTAGGTGTATGGCATTGTCAGTTTTGTCAATACTTTCCAGTTTTGTGTTTGCAAACTGCAGAAAATGTAAGATACTATCCTCATGGAATTCGAAAGTTTTCGTGTGTGTAAGAATTCGTAGTTATTTAAGTTGTAGAATTATGGTCTACTATGATATTAGTACTGCTCTAATAATAGACCTAATCCCAAAATTGTAGATTCGTCATGATATAACTGCCTAATCTATAAGATCTTACGTGGAAGTCACACCATCGACTACACCAACTCACTGTATCGGATCAATTACCAATACATGATATATAAGAAGGTTAGGTTAGAGAAAGAACAATATATTTAATATGAATAGAGACCACGCCTGCATGGCCGAGCCATGCCACTCGATCAACCCCAGTCCATTCAATTCATTGTTCGCGCCTTCTCCATTTTTAGGTATTTCTCCGCGTTAAATATTGAATATCTATTTTCTGAGTAGTCTCGTGTTCACAGCTTTGTGGATTGTGTGGCTATTGTCCAATGCCACTACACTACTCTCCCACCAGAATCAACGTGATGTTGGTTCGATACCGAATTGGATGGGATCGTCGTGCGCCGAAGGTTACCAAGACTAGGAAGAATCCCCTGGGTAATGATAAGCTGAAAGATAAATCAAAAAGAAGGCGGCAGCATCTGGTCGGGAAATACATGTAATAATTTTTTTTTTTAAATCTGCCTTCATGCTTAACACACTTAAAATGACAATTTGGGTGAAGATTATTTGAGCTATAAAAAAAATGGGATTACAGTAATAATAATAAAACAATGCGTGTTAATAGCCGTTGGTTAATAACTTGACGTATAGGTAGTAAGTATTTTGTGTTTAGAAATATTAAAGTAATGAATATTGTAGAAATGTTAATATTGGTATTAGTTTTGGTTTAAATCATGAAACCAATTAACAATTATGCCGGTAACCCGTCCATATGTGATTTCCATTTGCATCTGTATTAGTAGGCTAACTGGAAGAACAAAAGTATTACCATGGAAAAGAATTCCAACTAGTGTTCCAGTTAGTTTGATACGGTTTATTTAGTTACGGGGAGATTTTCTCAACTTCATTTTTACTTGACCGTGATAGAATTTAGTAATACTACTAATACACATGAATGGTTATCAAAATAAAATTTAAATACGTGAGTGATAATTATATGAATTTTGGACAGATAGCTAGGAACAAATCGCTAAACATGAGTGTATTCGTGAGAGACATGCTCTGGACTCAATGTTCTGATCTGCAATAGACTATTTATTTATATTTATACTTGCTGGCTGATTGGGCATACAAGTTAGTTGCAAGTATGCAGTTTATCATAAGGCGGAATAAGATTAAGTTGAGATATAGTGGTTATAGGTTATTAAAATCAGTTAGGCCTGTGTCATATTACGAAGTGATGTGGTGCCGCAGGATGTATTCGGCTAAATAAGCTTTTACAAGATGATTAACAGTGAGTGATGCTCATGTGATTATCAGGAAGAACACAAGTTGTAACCAAGGGGAGTACACTCCCAACTCACGTCTATGATAATGGCTTGAACCTTAGTCAGTGTTGGGGTAAATTCGACATTGATGTTTTCAGTTTGCAGGAGATTTGCTCGACTGCTTATATTGATTATTTGCATGCATGATTGTGTCG